CGACCGAGCTCCTTCGAGCTCCTCCGGAATCGCCCTCCGACGTGATTAACGACCTGAGTCTCTGATAAGGCTCCAGGCACAACCCCATTCAGCAGAGTTTCAAAGCAGCATGCGGAAGGACGAGATAGTATGAGCTACATGGCTAAAGGGTTTTATTACTAAGCTATGCAGACAGAAAAGAAATACATCTTCTCTCTGTGAGAGCAGAGAGCAACTGAAACAAAGGAACAGGAAACCAGTAACGTCACATCTGTCTCCTGTCTTCCGTGAGACTTCCAACAGTCTGGAATGAGTGGAATTCAAAACAGAGTCTTGTGACTCCAAAGCACTGCACAGTGGGAAACAGAAACGAACAGCAGCCCCCCATGAGGGCGGGGCCAGCCACCCGTGGGGCAGGGCGAGCTAGGGCAGGATGCTCCGCGGGTCCTCTGAGGAGTCTGCCTCCCTCCTCCCACTCAGCTGCCCTATGGCTGAGGGGGAGACGACAGGTGGACTGTTTGGGACAGCATGGAGCCTGCGGGTGCCCAAGCCACCACTTGCAGGAGAAAGGCTTGGCTCGGGCACACTGCGGGCCCCTCGGTGAATGCTGCCCAGCATTTTGTCACCCCCCTCAATGGTGACATCCAGGGCGGCCCGCCCTCATCGCAACCCCCTTCCTCCGCCCCTGACTAGCAGACAGAAAGGAGAAGTTGTGTGGATTGGGGAGGCTCACCAGTAGAGGACAGGCAAGACTACCCAAAGTTGCGATCCCTCAGTAGGCCACACCATGACTACACTTGATCAGAGCATCTCCAATGAAAAAGAATGATTGGAGTGATTGTATGTTTCTTTTGGCCCTGGTTTCATGATGAAGCTGCCAGGTTTTGAAACACTGGTTCTCAGTGCCAGCTTGTGGCTCCGTGGGATCCCAGGAAGGCACCCTCAGTCTACCTTTGCTTCATTTCAAAAATATCACTGGGGAACAAAAATTTTGTTGCATTGACACCTGCAGTTGTTTTAACCTAATTTTGACGTGCTGATTTCATATCTGAAGTTGGTTTTGTTCTGTAAGCTCTAGGGGGTTTAATGCAATTCATGTTTTTCACTTTTCACCATAATCTTTGTTTTTCACAAGGCAAGAATTCAATATTTTATTAAACACATAGCCAAAGTAGTATAATAGGAGTATAAATGTTAAGTGACTTATATAGCATTGAACATGACATGTATAGCATTGAAAATGACATGTACAGTTGGAGGTATGGAAAAAAATGTATTCCCTTGGGATACGCAGTATACTTGAAGAAGCCATGATCCAATCTGAAAAATACAAATATTCGGGTTACAAAACTATAAAAATAAAGAAAAATTAAGTTTGCAAAACAATAATTACCATGTGGTTAGGGTAGATCAACGTGTCAGTGTCCACTTATCCCCAGTGTAAGTATGACATATAGGCAAAAGTCGCAAATTGCAAGATAACTATAGCATGTACATGAAAATCGATTTCAGATTTGAAATCAGCATTGAAAGAACATATAAGAACAGTTGAAAAATCTCTTGCAACAGAAAATGGAAAAAAAAATGTTCCTCAGTGATATATTCATTTCAGTGTCTGGTCACAGGCAATGTTTGGCCCCTGCCCCAGAGTCTGGTATAGGATTGTCGTATCTTGAAGAGCAAAAAAGAAGAGCAAAAAAGAGGACAGCCTGAGCCGCTGACAGCCCGAGCCAGGGAAAGAGGCGTGCAGGGCTGCCACACCCACACAACTCTTTCCCCAGCTTAGGCTGGCAGCAGCCATGGTGTGCAGAGGACCTGCACGTGTGCTCCTCTTTCTCTGGCTCAAGCTGGCAGTGGTGTGCAGAGCAGCCCAAGTCCAAGTCCACCCAGGCCCAAACTGCCCAAGCGCAAGCCCCCAAACCACCCAAAACCTGGAGATTTCCTTTAAAATGTAAAAATCCACCAGGTTGGGCATGTTGGCCCACAAAAAGAGGACATGTCCAGGTTTTCCTGGACGTATGGCAACCCTACCCCAGACAATTTACATCCATTGGTTTCTGTTGATATCTACGATCTATGCAATTCCATGTTTTCTTTTATTTTCTTTATTCCTTACATGTATCAAGCCAATCAGGAAACGCACATGATGACAATGGCAACACGCTGTCCCAAGGAAAGATCCAGGTTTTGCTCCTGATACACCAGGACCCATCTTTTATATCCCATTTGCACAATGCACCCCTGAAATGAATTCCCCCCTGCTTCTCAGTGCTTTATTTTGTTTTCATATGTTGTCATTTTTTTATGGCTAGGGGTCTCAGAAAGTGGCCTGCACCCCCACCCCACCCCTGGAAATTTTAGAGGGCTGGAATTTGGGTGTCGTTGTTGTTGTTAAGTTGTTTAGTCGTGTCCGACTCTTCGTGACCCCATGGACCAGAGCACGCCAGGCACTCCTGTCTTCCACTGCCTCCTGCAGTTTGGTCAAACTCATGCTGGTAGCTTCGAGAACACTGTCCAACCATCTCATCCTCTGTCGTCCACTTCTCCTTGTGCCCTCCATCTTTCCCAGCACCAGGGTCTTTCCCAGGGAGTCTTTTCTTCTCATGAGGTGGCCAAAGTATTGGAGCCTCAGCTTCAGGATCTGTCCTTCCAGTGAGCACTCAGGGCTGATTTCCTTCAGAATGGAGAGGTTTGATCTTCTTGCAGTCCATGGGACTCTCAAGAGTCTCCTCCAGCACCATAATTCAAAAGCATCAATTCTTCGGCGATCAGCCTTCTTTATGGTCCAGCTTTCACTTCCATACATCACTCCTGGGAAAACCATAGCTTTTACTATATGGACGTTTGTTGGCAAGGTGATGTCTCTACTTTTTGGGTGTCATTAAAAGGTAAAGGTACCCCTGCCCGTACGGGCCAGTCTTGACAAACTCTAGGGTTGTGCGCTCATCTCACTCTAGAGGCCGGGAGCCAGCGCTGTCCACAGACACTTCCAGGTCACGTGGCCAGTGTGACAAGCTGCATCTGACAAGCCAGCACAGCACACGGAATGCCGTTTACCTTCCCACTAGTAAGCGGTCCCTATTTATCTACTTGCACCCGGGGGTGCTTTCGAACTGCTAGGTTGGCAGGCGCTGGGACCGAGCGACGGGAGCGCACCCCGCCGCGGGGATTCGAACCGCCGACCTTTCGATCGGCAGGTCCTAGGCACTGAGGCTTTTACCCACAGCTCCACCCGGTGTCATTAACCTACACCAAATTGCTTTCAACTGGATGGACACCATCATAATTGGGTGCCAAGGTATAATGGCATGTGACTTGTCTTGGAATAGTGTGAAAGAATTTGGCTTTTTCTAAGCCCTTTCATTGCTGAAAATAATTGCCACGTCTGAGTGTTCACCAGATTTTGCTTCAGGTGTGGATATGCTCTGTTGCCTGCTGTTTATGTGCACTGAGGGTTAGGGAAAAACATAGCGATATGGTCCCAACTCACAGAATGAGTTCTGTTCCACAAGACAAAAGGAGGAATGCCAAACCCAGTGACAAAAGTGATGCCTAGACTGTCTTTCTAGAATTTACCTGGGGCCCTTTGAAGATACAGCAGCTTCTCTCCTAATTGCTGTAATTGTTCATTTGCATGGAATTATAAATATTTTTTATTACATATATAAATAAGATACATAGCTACACTGTCATCAGACCTTGAACAGGAGACACAATTAATTTAATCAGCTATTACTAGACAGCAAAATTTGATTGAACTGCCATTTCACCCATTTTGTGTCGATGCGCTGAAATTTTAAATTGAGATAAATAGCTATTTTAAGTGGAGAAAATGAGAGAAAATGGTCCATACCCAGTAATATTCTCATCCTAAGATATACAGATAAATCACTCTGCAAAGAACTAAGCAACAGTGGCTTTTTTGTGCACCTAGTGACCAAACTCCGATTAGGCTATGCAAATTGGATGCAAGGCAGAAAATTAGGCAAAGCTCTTCACCATTTAGAGTGCAGAAATGGCAGCTAATTCACAATTATACATTATACCACAGTCATTTTCGATGCACTGGATGCTTATGGGATGACCCAGGCCATTTCTGATAGGAGAAAGGGAAGTTGTGAGAGGAGCAGGATGTGACAGTAAAAAGCAGGGATGGGGAGATTTCTGCACTTGCAGGCTGAGAGAAGAGAGTATTAGAGGGATAGCGGCAGATTATGCCTGAAATATACTCATAGAGTCATGTAGTGATTTCACGCTCTTTATTGCAGCTTGTAAAACAGTGAATGAATCCTCCCCCCAAACCTCTGGCTTTATATACATTATTTACACAATGGGTCCCGTCTGATTGGCTGATTCTGCTTCCCTCCTGGAGCCTGATTGGGCTGCTCCAGCAGGCCAATCAGGTTGTTGCATTCTAGGATCCTACCTGCCTATTGTTTTAGGATCCAAGCTTAGTACAGTGGTACCTCGGGTTACATATGCTTCAGGTTACATACGCTTCAGGTTACGGACTCCGCTAACCCAGAAATAGTGCTTCAGGTTAAGAACTTTGTTTCAGGATGAGAACAGAAATTGTGCTCCAGCGGTGCAGCAGCAGGAGGAGGCCCCATTAGCTAAAGTGGTGCTTCAGGTTAAGAACAGTTTCAGGTTAAGTACGGACCTCCGGAACGAATTAAGTACTTAACCCGAGGTACCACTGTACATAACAATGCCTTAAATATTTTGGTGATAAAGGTGTACATTTCAGCAATGCAGATTCAGTCAGAGATGACAGAATTCTGATCAGAGGGGAAAGCGGGAGACTGAACTAAGAATTATTCTCCCACCCCAGCCCCCAACTCCTAACATGTTCTAATTGTCCCTGCTGAAGCCATTTCCCTTCTTGTTGTTGTTGCTGTTTAGTTGTTTAGTCGTGTCCGACTCTTCGTGACCCCATGGACCAGAGCACGCCAGGCACTCCTGTCTTCCACTGCCTCCTGCAGTTTGGTCAAACTCATGCTGGTAGCTTCGAGAACACTGTCCAACTATCTCGTCCTCTGTCGTCCCCTTCTCCTTGTGCCCTCCATCTTTCCCAACATCAGGGTCTTTTCCAGGGAGTCTTCTCTTCTCATGAGGTGGCCAAAGTATTGGCGTCTCAGCTTCAGGATCTGTCCTTCCAGTGAGCACTCGGGGCTGATTTCCTTCAGAAATGGAGAGGTTTGATCTTCTTGCAGTCCATGGGACTCTCAAGAGTCTTTCCCTTCTTACTATATTATAAAATAGTGTAAATGCAAATGTAATATGAGGAAGAACATCATACAAGTATGTGCCCACTTAGAATCATAAATTGACTACTAAGGTCCCATAACTTTTAAAAACACATAATACTGTGTAAGCTTAACACACACACAAACACACCAAGGTTTGTGAGGCATATTCTGAACTCTTTTGAAACTTTGTAAGATATCTTGAAAGATGCAGCTAGTTAGAACTAACATTTCAGTTCTGCAGAGCCATCCAGGATAAACCTTTTGAATACCACAAAAGTGAATCAGCTGTTTTATCTGAAAATAAAACCTGCTGGAGCACTTTCTTTTTGCGAATTCCACAGCAATATAATCCGTTTCATTTAGATTTGGAGGGGGGATTTCTGCACTTACTTTACTTAATCTCTCCAAGCTTCTAAAGCTTTGCAGAAGATTTCAAATTCATTCTTTTTAATTGAGCTGTGTGTCTAAATGCTGCAGCCTGCTCAGCAATGTGGTGGATGGTCAGAGGGAAAGCTAAGAGTTTCCTAATTAACAGAGTTGCATATACGTCATAGTGTAACTTCCAAAATAATATAATTAAAGGTATATCACATCTATTTTTACTGATATTGCTGTTGTTGTTTTAAAAACCCTGCAAATTTGGAAATTTAGCAGCATAGTTTGTATCCCTCACTCTTGCAACCAGAGTGCTTTAAATCTAAGCATGTCTGAATCCTTCAGCTCTGAATGTTGCTATACTTACTGAAACTCTTTTGGCTTCTCTTGAAGTTCCTTCTACATTTTGCCTGAGAAGGAATCTTCAAATCTCCTTCCGATTTCACTTTGGGAGAAAAATGACAACAGTTATGGATGCATAGCACTCCCAAAGAGAAGTCTTCGTAGTCTTATTCTGGACAGGCAAAATGATTGCCACAAAACCAAACGTAGTCCCGTGGCATAGTTAAGCTTTCATGAACTAGTACCAGATACTCAAATGCACAGCCATCTTCCTAGTTGTGCCCTTCATATGGAGTTCCCAGCTGTGCAAGACCGTGCTTGAATTGGTGGGGCAGGGCAGTGGGAGGGTGAAGAGCCTTTAGTAAAAAAAAAACTCCAGTCCCACCTCAGCCAAATTGTGGTCCTCCATGAACTTCTAAAAACCATAGATAGTGAGGAGGTGATCACAAAGGCTGAGGGTCTCAGGAAGTTATCGCTCATGAGGTTCTTTAGCTGTTAATTGGCAAGAAGAAGAAGAAGATACAAGCTGAATTTCAACTTTCAGTGTTCCACCTTCTCTTCATTGTGGCTAGCCATCATCTTGATTTCCACATGATACCAGTGGAGATTATCATTTTCTGCAGAAAGCCCTTTGGGCAGAGGCGTAGCAAGGTCAGGTGGAACCTGGTGCAGAATTTTTTTTGTCACCCCCCCCCCACACACATCGACGGCTCGGAGTACACTTGGGTTGGGAATGTCCCCCCTGGGTGTGCCACCCGCCCGTGACTCCCAAACCTCCCCCGAGCTGTCAAAATGAAGGCCAAGTGGTGCAGCTCCCCTGTTCCCCCAACAGCTTGGGGGAGGCTTGGGAGTTGTGGGCAGGCGGTGCCCCCCCCAGCGATGACACCCAGGGCAGTCCTCACCCCCCCACACACCCCTTCCCACACCTCTGCCTTTGGGATGATGCTACATCATAACTTGGCCTGGGCCCAAGGAGAGTTCTGTTGCACTCAGGTTTTGTTTGAGGGCTTGGCCACTGTGAGAAGAGGATGCCAAACTAGCAAGTTCTTGTGTTCTTATTAGGGGGCAATTAAAGACAGTAACTGGGACGTGGGTGGCGCTGTGGGTTAAACCACAGAGCCTAGGACTTGCCGATCAGAAGGTCGGCAGTTCGAATCCCCGCGATGAGGTGAGCTCCCGTTGCTCGGTCCCTGCTCCTGCCAACCTAGCAGTTCAAAAGCATGTCAAAGTGCAAGTAGATAAATAGGTACCGCTCTGGCGGGAAGATAAATGGCGTTTCTGTGCGCTGCTCTGGTTTGCCAGAAGTGGCTTAGTCATGCTGGCTACATGACCCGGAAGCTGTACGCCAGCTCCCTCGGCCAATAAAGCGAGATGAGCGCCGCAACCCCAGAGTCGGTCACGACTGGACCTAATGTCCCTTTGTTGTTGTTTAATCATTTAGTCGTGTCCAACTCTTCGCGACCCCATGGACCAGAGCACGCCAGGCACCCCTGTCTTCCACTGCCTCCCGCAGTTTGGTCAAACTCATGTCCGTAGCTTCGAGAACCCTGTCCAACCATCTTGTCCTCTGTTGTCCCCTTCACCTTGTGCCCTCAATCTTTCCCAACATCAGGGTGTTTTCCACGGAAGTCTTCTCTTCTCATGAGGTGGCCAAAGTATTGGAGGCCTCAGCTTCATGGGGTCCCTTTACCTTTACCTTTAACTGGCAGCAGCAAGGAGACACAGGAATGCAGGTGAATATTGCGTCTCCATCCTTGACAGTTGCCACCATCCCTTCAAACAGTTCAGCCTTCTCTTTCTGGACACTTTTGGGAGCCAAAAGCGTGACCCGGCCCTAGAATAAGCTACATGTCTCTTTGTGGTCATGGCTATGAAAGGATGGCTGGAGAATCAATGGCTCAGAGAAATGAGAGCAGGAGGAGAAATTCAGAGGGAGAAGCAAGAGAGAAGAGGCAAACAGGGAAAGAGAATGCATAATAAGAAGAGGTAAACATGGCCTGCAGCTGCACAGCTGACAGAGTCTGAATAGCCAGCCAAATCTTAGGCTACAGGCTTGCAATTGCATCAGTAGTCAAATCACTTTCCCTATGGCAATTCTACAGGATATATCCAAGCAAAACAAATGTAGCTTATTGATTAATTTTATTTTTCACTTCCTTTCTCTGTGCTCAGCAAATTCCTTAATTCCTTTTGTGGTGATCTTTTTTGTATTATTGTGTGTGTGCTTTGCTGTTTTCCTGCATTTTTAACTTTATTTCAGAGTAAAATCCCATGATATAATATCCAAAGCAGCTTAGCAGAGAATACTACCAAACAGCTAAATGCCAGCACATTGGAGGCCAGCATTGTTTGTCCTTGGCTAACTGGAATCTTTTTATTCACAACCCTGCCTGAGGTCAGAAAAGGATGGTTTTTGGTAGGCTTGATTCTCTGCCTTTGTCTTCCTGCCGATATGGAACATTGAACATGATTAATTGTGTTTCAGTTGCCACATTGGATTATTAGTGTTGCTTTTACCTCATGGGTTGTCAGACAAAGGAAATGTTGGGTTGCTAACAACTCAAAAGTTGATGAATTTGTTTTGCTGTTGCTCTCTGGGAATTAAAACTATGTTGAGAAATGACTATTGCTGGATAAATCAGCTAAGCCCTTGATTACAACACTGCATTCTGGATTTCAGTACAGACTGTACATGTTCAGAAAAGAAATATTGTGCATATGAGTGGCGGTGGGGATTATTTCCAGCGTGATTTTGTCTTTAAGATGACTGAGCCCTGGTTCACACACAAATCTAGGGGTTGCACTGCCAATCCAACATACTTAGAATATTTGTATATGCCAGGCCTTATAAACAAAATCTGACTTGAGACCTTTCAGAATAAGATTGTGTTGGCAGAGCCTACTTGTTTTGAGCCCAAAGCATGTGGTTTTAGTCTTGACACTGCCATCTTCTCATCTCATTGCCCCAAGTGTACCAAGCTTCACCCCTGGGCTGTCAGGAATAACCTTCAGGCACCCAAATTCCCCTGAGTCTTGGCCCTCCATTTGTAGTCCGGACTTTCAGAAAAGTTTAAATGAATGCCCTGTGTCCAGGGCAGCTGTTTATCAGCTCCATCTGGTATGCAGACTGAGACCCTACCTGCCCACAGACTGTCTCGCCAGAGTGGTGCATGCTCTGGTTATCTCCCGCTTGGACTACTGCAATGCACTCTCCGTGGGGCTACCTTTGTTTTTTGTTTTTTTTTTAATGATATTTATTAAGGTTTCAGTAAAAAATTAAACAGAACAACATAAACGAAAAATACACAATTCAAAAAAGCACAATACATAGTCCAAAAAAGAAAAGAAAAAAAGAACAAAGAAAAAACAAAATACAAAACAAAAAGAACAATTAAAAACAGTATCACCTTTTCGTTTCCATCTTTAAATTAACTTGTTTTCTGAACCTCCTCATACCTCCCTCTTTTGTATTCCAGTTCAAATTGTTTGTCCAGCAATTTCTTTCCCTCTTTTTTAATCCCAATCTTTAATCTTAATATAATATAACATTAAAATTTTACCTCTTAAAAGCCAAATTTCCATTTCCTTAAACTTCTTTAGTCCTAATCCTTAATCTTAGTTTATCTATAACTTTAAATCCTGTCTCCGTGGGGCTACCTTTGAAGGTGACCCGGAAACTACAACTAATCCAGAATGCGGCAGCTAGACTGGTGACTGGGAGCGGCCACCGAGACCATATAACACCAGTCTTGAAAGACCTACACTGGCTCCCAGTACGTTTCCGAGCACAATTCAAAGTGTTGGTGCTGACCTTTAAAGCCCTAAACAGCCTCGGTCAGGTATACCAGAAGGAGCATCTCCACCCCCATCGTTCTACCCGGACACTGAGGTCCAGCGCTGAGGGCCTTCTGGCGGTTCCCTCACTGCGAGAAGCCAAGTTACAGGGAACCAGGCAGAGGGCCTTCTCGGTAGTGGCACCCGCCCTGTGGAACACCCTACCACCAGATGTCAAAGAGAAAATAACTACCAAACTTTTAGAAGACATCTAAAGGCAGCCCTGTTTAGGGAAGCTTTTAATGTATAATAGGTTATTGTATTTTAGTGTTTTGTTGGAAGCCGCCCAGAGTGGCTGGGGAAACCCAGTCAGATGGGTTGGGTATAAATAAATTGTTGTTGTTGTTGTTGTTGTTGTTGTTATTTCCTGTAAAAAGAGTTCACAGAAAATTTGGCCCATATTCTCAGGGTGCATGGCAAAGAGGGTACTGGAACAGCTTTAAGAAAATGTTCATGTGTAGAATGAATAGGCGCATACATTTGCCATACATAAAACTAAGGTAAACTCACCTAAAATGACACTCGAAATGCAAATGAACAGGCGCCCTCATCCGTGTTTTCTTTTGTGTCATGTATTTTAGAAATGCAGGCCTGTGGGCAGGAGTTGTTTTGGTTGTTGTGGACCTTACGTAGGCCATTCTGGAAGCCTTTTGGTCTAAACTGTGCTTAACCACAGAACTTTACGTTAGGACGGGTTACTATATGCAGCATAGTAAAGGTAAAGGGACCCCTGACCATTAGGTCCAGTCGTGGCCGACTCTGGGGTTGCGGCACTCATCTTGCTTTATTGGCCGAGGGAGCTGGCGTACAGCTTCCGGGTCATGTGGCCAGCATGACTAAGCCGTTTCTGGCGAACCAGAGCAGTGCACAGAAACACCGTTTATCTTCCCGCCGGAGCGGTACCTATTTATCTACTTGCACTTTGACGTGCTTTCGAACTGCCAGGTTGGTAGGAGCAGGGACCGAGCAACGGGAGCTCACTGCAACACGGGGATTCAAACCACCAACCTTCTGATCGGCAAGTCCTAGGCTCTGTGGTTTAACCCACAGCGGCACCCGTGCTGTATGCAGCATAGCATACAGTAATTTATACTGTATTTTTATTCAATTATTTCAGCGTACGTATCCCAGGTTTCTGTGGGAAATATTCAAGGTGGCCAATGGTACAATGCAAACACAGCAAGCGCTTACACTTTATATTCTGCGGTCAAAGAAACAATTTTAACTGTCACTGGACCTCGGAGGATTTTGAAAGGGTGTGGAGGACGAACTTTCTACACTCTCCATTATGTTTTATATGTGACTTGCTCTCCTTTTCATTTTCCTGACCAATATCTCTCCCCCCCCCCCCGCATTTGAGGATGACTGAACTGTTTGAAAGGAGAACTCATATTTACCCCTTGAGTCTATTGTGTATCTGCTGGGATGTTGGCCGCTATTATCAATTAGGTCTATGTGGCATGATGTGGGTGACTGATGGAGGGCGGCACAAATCATGCACCCTCACAGATGGCAGCTAGACTAGGTGGCCCAGTATTATAGCTTTGTGATTACACTGAAATGTATAGATCTCCGTTTGCAATTGCTTTGCCCTCCCTTAATATCATAATAAAAGCTTCATCCTCACAGACTCTGTTTCATCAAATATGGGCACCTGCATTACCTGCCAACTGCGTCTTTGAAGATTTCTGATTCCTTTAACCTGTCGTTTCAGCTTCTATAAGAGAGAGTTTTGGAGGGGGGAAGGCTCATTACTTAAGATGCTTCCCGTCATTGTAGCTACAACGTTCAGCTGAATTACCCAGCAACTTACTGAAAAGCCTCCTCCGGTGATGTGAGCAGCATAATCAAATTGCCTGCCTAGATCAGTACATGAATCTTAGCATTTCCTATTTGACTCCTTAGGAACCACAAACTGCTCTTCTTAATGGGAAATGTGCTACAAACCTGATTTGAATTTAAATATGAATGAACTGTGAAAGAGGCAGACAACAGCTTTTGTACTTTTTGGAAAAGTGGTTGCAATATAAATCCTTGGTTCTTCTTGCGCGGTGCTATTTTTCATGTACAGTTTATTTGCTTGGGGGGGGAAACCATTAAAAGCTCCACTAAATAACTGATGTGTGCAGAGTTGGTTTTGGTGGTTATTTTTAAAAAAAAGAAAAAATAAGCAATTCCTACAGATAGTGATGGCACTGAAGTTTTTGAATTCCTGGTTTGTTATAAAAGTTTGTCGAGCTCGTAATGGTCAGCTGGACCTTGGAGGAACTTTTCACAGAACTTCTCCAGCTTGGAGACCTATGCGAGTGTTCAGCAGACCAGCTGCTCAAAGCCATCTGCTTTGCGGGTACATGCACAGACATTTTCCAAAATATTAACCCTCCCTCTAAATGAAATAGCCACTGATCACTGAGAAACTACATGGGCATTTTAAATGGTAATAGAATTTTCAAAGCAATACCAGACCAGCTGCCCAAGGCCATCTGTTTTGTAGGTACATGCACAGACTGTCAGCATCGCCCTTGAGCCAGTGCCACCAACTGGACTCATCCACTTCAGCCCCGACTGGGCTAGGCGAGCTGGGTAGCACTTCCAGAGACCACCTTCTGCACAGGAATAGGTCAAAGTGCTGTGGACTCACAGCTTAGAGTTGTGAGCACCGGATTCACTCCAACAAGAAGACAGTCGTCGCACAGCAGAGTACAGCAGACTCTAGCAGAGTATATAAACAACTCGGAGAGCAGCTCTGTAGAATATCTTCTTTATTCTATCTACAACTATTATACAACTATATACAGAGCTTGGTGAGTCTAAGCATAAATGAATGCTGCACTGCACTGAGTGTCTGCAGCTGCTCTTAGCAGCAACCTTATCTCTACACACGATCTCTAACACTCAGTCTCTCTCTCTCTCCGACACTGACTGACTGACTGATTTGGTGCTGGAGCAGAATAAGTAGAGAGCAGAACACGCCTCCTCCTCTCTGGAGAATCAGCAGACTCCTCAGGAGATTCTTGGATATGGGACGGGTGAAATCTCTTGGAGGACCTTGGAGGAACTTTTTGCAGAACTTCTCCAGCTTGGAGACCTATGCGAGTGTTCAGCAGACCAGCTGTTCAAAGCCATCTGCTTTGCGGGTACATGCACAGACATTTTCCAAAATATTAACCCTCCCTCTAAATGAAATAGCCACTGATCACTGAGAAACTACATGGCATTTTAAATGGTAATAGAATTTTCAAAGCAATACCAGACCAGCTGCCCAAGGCCATCTGTTTTGTAGGTACATGCACAGACATTTTTTAATAGTAACCCTGACTTCCAATGAAACACTCCTCAGCTGTGAAGGTACACAGACATTTTAAATGGGCATGGGATTTTCAAAGGAATACAGTGGTGCCTCGCAAGACGAAATTAATCCGTTCCGCAAGAGTCTTCGTCTAGCGGTTTTTTCGTCTTGCGAAGCAAGCCCATTGACGGATTAGCGCTATTAGCGCTATCAGCTGTTTAGCGGCTATTAAAGGCTTAAAGGCTTAGGGGATTAGCTGCTAAAAGGCTATTAAAGGCTATTAAAGGCTTAGCAGATTAGATAAAGGGGGAAAAGCGAAAAAAATCTCAAGACTCGCAAGGTATTTTCGTCTTGCGAAGCAAGCCCATAGGGGAATTCGTCCTGCGAAGCAACTTCAAAACGGAAAACCCTTTCGTCTAGCGGTTTTTCCGTCTTGCGAGGCATTCGTCTTGCGGGGCACCACTGTACCATGTTGCACAAACACACACACACTAGTGACACTTACACACTTCCAAATTAAATGATCTCACATACAAGGCATGCATGTGATGTACTGCAACCAAGCAACCACATGACAGAGCAAGACATAAAATCATGTATTGTGCTCTGTAGATTTTAAAATAGTTGCCAAGCGACCATTCACAGGAGGCAACACTGTAGCGCAGAGGTTTTCAAGCTTTTGGAGTCCATGGCTGCCTTGGCCAACTGAATTTAAAGCCCTAAATGGCCTCGGCCCAGTATACCTGAAGGAGCGTCTCCAACCCCATCGTTCTGCCCAGACGCTGAGGTCCAGCGCCAAGGGCCTTCTGGCGGTTCCCTCATTGCAAGAAGCAAAGCTACAGGGAACCAGGCAGAGGGCCTTCTCGGTAGTGGCACCCGCTCTGCGGAACGCCCTCCTACCAGATGTCAAAGAGATAAACAACTACTTGACATTCAGAAGACATCTGAAGGCAGCCCTGTTCAGGGAAGTTTTTAATGTGTGATATTTTAATGTATTTTTAATATTTGTTGGAAGCTGCCCAGAGTGGCTGGGGAAACCCAGCCAGATGGGCGGGGTACAAATATATTATTATTATTATTATTATTATTATTATTATTATTATTATTATTTCTGCTGAACCCCTGTGGGGCTCAGGAGCCCAGTTATGTCACCCCTTGCCTGCAGAGCTGGCAGCCCCTCACCCCTTTTCGAACACCATGCCTTGTGGAGTGTTCCCTCAGCCTCCTCTCCCCTCTCTTTGGGAGTTCTCTGGGCAGCCACCACTGCTTTCCCTGGTCTCTGAGCTGTTCCCCCTTGCCCCCAAAGAGTGGTGCCTTCTCACACTGCCCCACATAGGCCTGGGACTTGTCTGTCCATTCCCAACAGCAAGGGCTGGAGGACTGGCTGGCTGACTGGGCTCCCTCGCCCACTTGCTTCCTTACTCCGAGGCCGCCTCAGCTCCTGACAAATAGCACCCCCTGACCAGCCCCAGAGGCACCATTCACCTGCGGAGCTTGTAGCCAGGACTGCTGCAACAAACAGCTCTGCAAGCCTTTGGGACGCAGAGATGCGAGAGGGCATCAGAGGAGAGAGAGAAGGAAAGAGGGACAGAGGCCAATGTTGCCCATGGCACCCCTGACCATCATTCAAGGCACACTGGTTGAAAACCACTGCTGTAACTTCCATATGTGCAGCACCACCAGGACTCAAGTGCCAACATTATTATTTCGGATAAACCTTCAGAAATTAGATGAGTGTTTTTCAACACTCAGTGAGAACACTTATAATTAGCCTGTTTCTGAATAGACCCAATTGGAACCTGTCCATCACTAGTTACTTTCTTTCAAGGAAACTGCGGTAGGTGAGCAAACAAGGTACAAAGCCAGCTGTAAACAGTGACTGCAAAAATGTCATATTGAAGTGAATTCAAGCAACCAGTTCCTTTCCCCAACCCCAGTAAGGGATGACTTTTGCAGTGATGGGCTCCATGATCGGGGGGGGGGGGGGTAATTCTGAGAAAATGTTTTGAATTTTTTAACCATTTTTTTATCCTGACTTCAACAAAGCCACTTTGCTAATTCCCCCATATTCCAATCTCTCTCTCTCTCTTTCTCTCTCCCCCCCCCCACCTTCACACATGCATCAATATCATAATCTCCCCTCATAACCCCCTGGAAGAATGCTAATTGTGGGTCATAATTGTTTTTATCAGCTATACAGTGGTACCTCAGGTTACATACACTTTAGGTTACATACGCTTCAGGTTACAGACTCCGCTAAGCCAGAAATAGTGCTTCAGGTTAATAACTTTGCTTCAGGATGAGAACAGAAATTGTGCGGCGGCGGCACGGCAGCAGCAGGAGGCCCCATTAACTAAAGTGGTGCTTCAGGTTAAGAACAGTTTCAGGTTAAGAACGGACCTCCGGAAAGAATTAAGTACTTAACCCGAGGTACCACTGCAGTCTAAAGCAGAACTGAGCAAAAAATTCTCACCTTTGGCTCAAATATCAGGAGTAGGAGTAAAAGGGGGAGGGCTTAAACGTCCTTGCAATTTTAGGGAGGATTCTTCACGACTTTTGGAACAATGAACTTTTTCTTTCTTTCTTTCTTTCTTTGCACCATTGTTTTGCTGGAGTTCCTCTTGGCATCTGTCTTCTGATGGCAGCCATTCCTCATTCGTACCCCAATGTCTGCCTTGGAGCAACTCTCACAAAGCACCTGGAATGTCAAAAAGTCATGAAATAGCATTGTTCCAAGACGGAGATTGTTAGAAAGAAATGTCACCCTCCACAGTGCTGACAATGGGAGATCTGCCATGACACCTGACAGCAGCAGGACAAAGTAAAGGATAAATTTAAAGACAATAAAGGCTTCCAGTTTTAATTAAATATGCTATTCTGTTTCTGCTCCTCAACACAAACATAATTAGCTATATTTTCTATTGCTGTATATTCTCGCGTTTTATTCAACCATTCCTTCATTGTAAAAAAAATTTAAAAAAATAATAATCTAAACTTTATGTTTGAGCTTCCATCTTTGCTTAAAAAGCCCAGAAAAACTCTGGCTTCATCTGACTAACCTACATTTGTTTATTCGTATCTGTGTTTCTAAATATTTGATCAAAGCTCAGCATTTATAGCAATCTAACACAGTTGCGTGAATGGAAAATATTGCTCAAAAATGAGAAAAATCTCCACATGAAACACATTTCCCAGCAGCAATAGACACACCATAAGAAGTGGATTAAAGTCCACCGCATAAATCTGAGAAATTTTCTGAAGCGATAAATCAACCTGAGAAAACTGAATGTGGATGAATAGAAACAGGAGGAGGGCCCGGCTTGGTAGGGGATGGCGGAGGTGTAAAGAGTAGACGAGTACAACTAAGTTTAGCTGAGTCAATGTTATAAACACAAAACACAGTCAAGGGAATCATAAGGAAGTAGCTTAAATACTTCAAAGAAAGCCTTCCTTTCATGGAAAACAATACCCTGATTAGTCTCAGTTTTCTAGCCTAAAGGTATTTTCTTTAAAATTCTTTTGTACATTATTCATATTCTTAGCAGAAATAGTCTTGCTGGCTCCGCTCTGATTGGTAGTAGTGTAGCAACGAGGGAAAGGTGTTCAGATTTCTGTTTTACATTCTTTCAGTGAAGTGGCAAAGTTGTAATGGGGCTTGGCATTCTTTCAACCTTCATTCCTATAGCTGAAATCTCTTCCCAGCATCTGAAATAAAAGGGTGCTTCAGCAGGGCCTCCGCACAACACAATGGCCCCAGTTACACAGGTGATGGACGGAGAGGTAAAGCATGTCCTTGGGGCTCGGCAAGAGACTTAGATAAACTGTGGGAGCCCAGGTGTATTGTGGAAAGGGATAAAATGTGTAGCAGAATAGCAGAGGCAACGTGTAAGGTTCAAATCTCACCTCAGGCATAAGATGACATCCTATTCTCCATCAGGTAGCTTTGTCCACGTTGGATCATGCCGCATGCATAGACCTCAGATACATATCTACATCCGTCACTTTGTGTCAGGGGCTGGACTAAGGAGAAATGTGTATACCCTGCTCTTCCCATAGAAGAGGGAGACAGTATAGATTTAGAACAGTGGTTTGCAGAAGGTCATAGTTCAGAGGCTGCAGAGGGAAGAAACTGGGAGAAGAAACTGCCTTGAGTCCCTGTCAGGGAATAAGGAGGAATATAATAATAATAATAAGCAATAATAACATCAATAACATGTAGGTTGAACGAGGTAACTGTTAGGTGGATTTGTAGCTGGTTGACTGACCAATCCCAAACAGTACTCATTAATGGTTCGTCATCATCCTGGAAAAAGTGACAAATGGGGTGCCACAGGGTTCTGTCCTGGGCCCGTTGTTGTTTTATGTCTTTATAAAGGACTTGGATGAAGGAATTGAGGGGATGCTCATCACATTTGCAGATGACACCAAACTGGGAGGGGTAGTGAATACCGCAGAAGACAGAATCAGAATTCAAAATGACCTCAACGGATTGGAGAACTGGGTGCAAGCTAACAGAATAAATTTCAATAGGGACAACTGTAAGGTTCTGCACTTAGGCAGGAAGAGCCAGATGCACAAATATAGGATGGGAGACACCTGGCTTACTAGCATTACATATGAAAAGGACCTAGGGGTCTTGGTGGACCACAAGCTTAACATGAGTCAACAGTGTGATGCAGCAGCAAAAAAAAGGTAATGCTGTTCTAGGCTGCATCAACAGAAGTCTAGTGTCCAGGTCAAGGAAAGTAAAAGTACCACTCTCTTCTGCCTTAGTCAGACCACACTTGGAATACTATGTCCAGTTCTGGGCACCACAATTTAAGAAGGATGTTGACAAGCTGGAATGTGTGTAGAGGAGGGCAACCAAGATGATCAAGGGTCTGGAAACCAAGCCTTATGAGGAACAGTTGAAAGAGCTGGGTATGTTTAGCCTGGAAAAGAGGATACTGAGAGGAGATATGAGAGCCATATTCAAATATCTGAAGAGCTGTCACATGCTTGTTTTCTCCTGCTCTGGAGGGTAGGACTCGAACCAATGGCTTCAAGTTGCAAGAAAGGAGATTCTGACTAAACCTTCGGAAAAACTTTCTGACAGTAAGAACTGTTCAACAGTGGAACAGACTCCCAAGAGAAGTGGTGGATTCTCCTTCCTTGGAGGTTTTTAAGCAGAGGTTGGGTGGCCATCTGTCATGGATGCTTAGCTGAGATTCCAAAATTACAGGGGGTTGGAATAGATGACCCTTGGGGTACCTTCCAACTTTAAGAGTCTTTGATTCTAACTATAATAAGAATAGAAACTGTGAGAATGATCAAGAACATACCAGAGAGTAAATCCTATTGAACTCAGTGGGTCTGCTTTATATTGCAGTGTAAGGTTGCCCAGTCTTGACCCAGTTACCTGCAAATATGCTTCATGGAATACAGTAGGACTTCCTTCTGAGTAGATAGTGTCAGGCTCCATTTACAACAAAGGAATCAACACTCCCTGTGTTTCCTTTAAAAAAGTGGCTGGCTGTGGAAGCATTGCAATGATAGAATTGAAAGCGGACTGATGACCTTTCCCTTCAACATTATGGGAAGGGCTCATAGCTGTCAACCGTCCCTTATTTGGTGGGAAATTCCCTTATCCCAGCATCATTTCCCACTGCTGTCCCAGATTGATGATGTCCCTTAAATTTCCCAGGTTTCATGCTCGCCCGGCTCGGGAGGGAAGCAGCAGCTCGGGGTCCTCCGCCTCGAGAGAGCGAGAGAGAGAGCGTGCTCGAGCTGCCGTGTCTCCGTCTCTCCCTTTTCCCCCTCAGGGGTGCGTCATGAGGAGACGGGTGGCGGCGGGCGAGCACACAGCCCCTCACTTGCAAGACTTCCGCCGCGCTGCCAGGGGAAGCCAGAGGTGGCAGCGGCGGCGGCAGCGGCGGCTGAGGAGGTGGCCTGAGGGAGGAGGAAGAGGAGGGGATGGGGAGGGACGCCGAAGGGCGGGCTGGCGTGCGGCGTGGGCAAGAGTCTCTCTCCCTCCCTCCCTCTCTCTCGGGCGGGGAAGGGCCGATGGAACTCCTCGCACCAGGACGACGGCAGCCCCGACGTGCTGCTTAGCATCCCCTCCAACCAGTGCAGCATCTTAATGTAGTGATTTCCCCCTCTGCATCCCTTTCATAACTCTATTTTTAGAAATCATTTGTCCATCCATAGTTCAAATTTTTACTACAAGTTTTCTGTCAATCCTACCAATGTATGTAACTATTTACAATAGCTTTTCAACTAAATTATAAACTTTCCCCATTGCTTATTAAAGAGGTCCTCTTCCTGGTTTCTAATTCTGCCTGTAAGCTTTGCCATCTCGACGTCGTTCATCAGTTTTGTCTGCCACTCTTCTTTGGTTGGAGTTGTAGACCCTTAGGATCATCTAGTCCAACCCCCTGCAAAACACAGTTAGTCGCAGCCAAAGCAGCCTGGCTCCATCAGTGCGGGATTTATGTATAAGCTAAGCAAAATCCCTTATTTTGGCTGCTGATCCCTTATTTTCAAGGCTGCTGGTCCCTTATTTTCAAATCTGTAAGTTGACAGCTATGGAAGGGCTTCACATGCCTGCTTCACCATTTCCTTTGTTAGGTGCAGGTATTTTGTTTTCCGTAGGAATGGGACTCTGCTTTTGCATCCCCTACATCACTTTTAATTGTGCTCTGAGATGTGGAGGGAAAAGGCAAACCGGGACATTCTGGGGTCAAATCAGAAACCGGAGTTGCTTCTGTAATTCCGGGACTGTCCCTGGACAACTGGGACACTTGAAGACTCTGCAAGGCTGGGGGACTTTTGGGCCTCCAGATGTTGCTGCAGTACAACTCCCATCATGCCTTGCTTTGGCCATCCTGTCTGAGGCTGTTGAGAGTTGAAATCCAACACCATCATCACAGGTTCTCCACCCCTTCACTAGATGTTAGACAAGCTACTATACTCACAGCATCAGCAATATGGCGAAAATGATTTTGGTCTATACATTTTCTTTAGCTCATTATATACCATTTCCCAGAAAGCCTTTATTTCTTTGCAAGTCCACCACATGTAGTAGAAGAAGATTTTAAAAAATACTTTTGTTAAAAAACCAGAAGCCTTTCTATTGGGTATAGCGGGTGAAGAGAAGATAAAAGACTATTTATGTATGCAACAACTGCGGCAAGAATTATCTTAGCCCAGAAATGGAAACAACAAGAAGTACCAATGAAAGAAGAGTGGCAAATGAAGATGATGGACTTTGTACGTTGGAAGAGGGGTAGTCTTATACGGCGAGTATATCCTAAATTCTATATTTTAACTGGAAAAGTTGGGGGGGTCATCTTATAGGCTCAGTCGTCTTATACACCAGAAAATATGGTATTTGAAGTGTATTTTCAGCCTCTAGCAAACATGCAAGTGCATGTAGAAAGGAGCCCCACTGCATTCACTGAGTTTACTCCCACATAGATTTGCCTAGGAGGGCAACCGTAGGTCTATATAAATACCAATTTATATTATTGTACCACTAAACCATAGAAGAACTCCGCCACCCCGAGTCCCCGATTGGTCCACAGGAACAATAACAAGATCTCTTGAACTTTCATCTTTCTCTACCATAAGTAATATAGAAGTGTTGAAGCAGAGAACCTGGGGTGATGGTGTTTTAGAAAAACAGCCATAACGTCAATGTGTAGTTTCAAAATTATGGGTCCGCTTCTCACTTCCCTAAAGTTGGTGCCCCATTGATTCTTTTGGAAGCTGCTCTCGGTTTGCAAGCTTGTATGCTGCAGGAGAGTCAGGCGTAACCACAGGGCATAAAATAATTGGCATGCACAGAAATATATCAAAAAGCATTGAGCATTGAAAAATATGTGGAAACTATGAATGTTAGTACAATAAACAAGGAGCAATAGAAAAAGCCATGCTGATCTTTCAAGGGATTCCCCATGCATTACAATGGAAGTGGCATATCTATGTGTGAATTTCTTTCCATGTGCATTAATGTTGCCAGTTTTCAAGGAGGTGCTAATATTAGGGCATCAAGTGTCTCTTAACTCTACCTACAAGCTACATATTCACAAGCTAGAGGCAATAAAGGCACCTTTATTGAGGGTTTGGTATTATGCAATGATACCGATGGATATGCAACAATACCAATTGATCAAAAGGCAGATAACTAAAAAGCTACAAAAACTTTAATTAGGTGACAGACCTGGCTTCCAAATGTTCACCTGCAAGATGCCCTTTTTCAGTTAATTACAATTTACTAAGGAATTGTTTTCGGCAACAGTGGTCTATAAATTGTCTTTTCCTCTCTAGTTCCAGGGTAAACTAGCAGAATGAAACAAGGAACAAAACCCTTGCTATTCTTGTGACTTGAAGATAGCTAAATGCGGGATTCTGTAGAAAGCAGACAGGAAAAGAGAGTTTCGGGAGATGGTTTTTGTAAGGTTCAGAAGTAGAGAAAGTGGATTAGAAAACTTAGTAGAAACTTGAAAACTGGAGGGAGAAGAGATGTTGGCACAGATGGGGAGGAATACAAATGAAGAAATACAATGAGTATACGGCACTGAGAGATAGCAAATACAAAGAAAAGTAAATAGATAGGGGAAACAATGCTCGAATCAAGAAAAGATAAAAGTCTGAAATGTGGAATAAGAGGTAGATATAATGGTGGATATGGGGTGATAAGGGAAAAGTTTGGATTGGAGGCCATGTACTCAGGATAATAAATTCATTTCCATGGAACATTCCTGAAAGTAAACAAAACCCATCTGCTGTTAAGGAGCCATCACTGCCCAGTCTGCAGATCTTGGTTCGCCACTTATTGGGTTAACAGATTGCTGCTAACCTGTCGCTATTCCGTGTTAACCTCACAACAAGTTATGAACATGTTTTCCATTTGGTACTGAAAAAAACTGTTCCATATGTTATGTAAAGGTAAAGTTAAAGGGACCCCTGACCATTAAGTCCAGTCATGGCTGACTCTGGGGTTGCGGCGCTGATCTCGCTTTATTGGCTGACAGAGCCAGCGTACAGCTTCCGGGTCATGTGGCCAGCATGACTAAGCCGCTTCTGGCGAACCAGAGCAGCGCACAGAAACGCCGTTTACCTTCCCGCCGGAGTGGTACCTATTTATCTACTTACACTTTGACATGCTTTCGAACTGCTAGGTTGGCAGGAGCAGGGACCGAGCAACGGGAGCTCACCCCGTCGCGGGGATTCGAACCGCCAACCTTCTGTTCGGCAAGTCCTAGGCTCTGTGGTTTAACCCACCTCACCACCCGCGTCCCTTATATGTTATGTAGAAGGTCATATCTTATAACCCAGGTGTGCAGCGATGTTTATAATGTGGGGGGCTTTGTGTGCCACCAGGTGTATTTAACCTATGATACCTTTTCTGAGGAAAAATTGGAGGCATCTCAGTAATAAAATGGATTGATATGCAGCATTCAGAATAGATACATACACCAGAAAGGTTTCACTCAGGGCCGTCTTTAGCATATACGCTGCTGGGGTGCAAAGATCCGCCCAGCGCCCCTAAATTTAGTTTAGCCCCCAAATTAACTTTTATTATGCTTATGTCACTATTATCATTTGATAAATAGCACTCACGCCTGCGCGGCTCCAAAAGGAGGGTTTTTTGTTTAAAACCAGCTTTTCTAAAGAAGACAAATAAGACATTGGGAGTCGGTATAAAGACTCCACGTATGCGCTTACGGTCGTAGGGAGTTGTCTGAAAGATGAGACGGGTCAGCATTGTGCACATGCGTGGGAGAGCCATTTTGGGCAGCCTTTCATTGTGGGAGCAACCTTATTTCTAGAGGAGCTGGGAGCGCATATATGAGTTCTTCTTCCGGAGCCTGCGCACACTCCCATTGCTAGATAGGTCCATTCTCTTTCTGTCTGCCTCTCCCTCTTTCCTGTCACTCCCCCTCCTCCCGTCTTTGGCAAGCGAGACTTTCCAGAGAGCTCTCCCTGCAGCAGCCTTAGCTTAGGCAGCGACTTCAGCGGTGGGCACCTGACACCCCCCAGAATTTGGCGCCTGGGTGCCCCGCACCCCTTGCACCCCCAGGTAAAGACGGCCCTGGTTTCACTGCTGTGCCTGCAGCAGGTCAAACTTTCCACCGCTTTGCCCCCGTTGCCTCTTGGTAACTGGCAGCAACATGTGGTTTTGGGAAGATGGGAGAGAGAGCAACATAGTCCTATCTGCAGCATCCCACCAGCTGCTACTGGCAATTTCCTCTTTTAGGTTAATGCCACTACCCACATACTGGCATAAAGAGGGAGGATAAACGTTGCATTTGGAAAGGAAAGTAGTAAATCTATCCAATAAATTCAAGACATCGCAGTGGATCCCAGCCCAAAGTTAGAGAGCCACGGCAGTAGATCTTCCATAAAGCTGCCTTGCTCCTGCCACCGTGTATCTCAGTCGCTCAGCGCGCTATGCATGTTACTCTTTAACGGCAGTGTTAAATTGCCTAGGGGCAATGTTCTAACAAATAAATTTAAAACCCATTTGAAATGCATTCGTTTCTGAGGTCGCAGTGTAAGATTGACTACATTTGGATATATCCTTGAGCTAAACAAGAAAGCTTGAAATTCCAGATTCCTTAAAAGCAGTTCGGTGTTCTTCGTTCTCAGGAATGTATAGATAAGCCGCTGCCAGCATTTGTTATGGATGGAACCTCGTTTCCCTTGGATTTTGTTCAGTTTTTAAAAGGTTGTTTTGACAGTCCATAATAATAATAATAATAATAATAATAATAATAATAATAATAAATTTTATTTATATCCCGCCCTCCCCAGCCGAAGCCAGGCTCAGGGCAGCTAACAACACTATATTTCTCGAATGGTAAATATCTGAAGAGGCAGCAAAATGGAAGTTATTGTTTCAAACCAATCCAAGGGGTTTTGAAAGAAACAGACTTTTTAAAAGGGACCTTCTTCTCAGCTGATGTGCATCAGAATGGTTCGGCGTTAGAGCATTTTGTTTATTCCTCAGACAGAGGCAGATTTAGGGAAGCGCAACCAGGTACCTGCATTGGGCAATGAGCCAAGAGAACGCCACAGGGAGTGCCGCAGGAATGAGGGCAAAAGTCGGAGGGTGTGTCAATTTTTGGGTGTCAATGGCATGTTCTATCCCTCCTGGTTGATCGTTCGGGAGCTTCAAAAGCTTTCTCCAACCGAAACATCACAGCGACTGATACCAAGAGGCATCAGCACACTTATGATCCTGCAGAGTACAGTGGTACCTCGGGTTACATACGCTTCAGGTTACAGACTCTGCTAACCCTGAAATAGTGCTTCAGGTTAAGAACAGGTTAAGAACTTTGCTTCAGGATGAGAACAGAAATCGTGCTCTGGCGGCGCGGCGGCAGCAGGAGGCCCCATTAGCTAAAGTGGTGCTTCAGGTTAAGAACAGTTTCAGGTTAAGAACGGACCTCCGGATTGAATTAAGTACTTAACCCGAGGTATCACTGTATTTGCAGTTTGCATAACAGAACTCAGTATCACAGCATTTTGGCTAATCTACTTTATTTACATACACTACACTTGGAGCATTCTGACTTAGCTCCTTCCTCTTTCTCACCAGACAGCAAAGAGAGAGAGAGAGAGAGAGAGAGAGAGAGAGAGAGAGAGAGAAAGGACAATAGTCCCACTTCACAGAACACAGTAATACCAAAACATCCGGTCTCTGTCACTTCCCACACTGTGGAATGAAAACATACACCGTCTTGTGATAGACAACAATCTCATGACTGCAAGCACGGAGCAAGAATCCTAACAGAAGCTGCCCAGAGTGGCTGGGGCAACCCAGTAATGTGGGTTCATTATGGAATGGGACGTCCCTATTTTCACTGAAGAAATGTTGGAGGGTATGCCATTAGGCAAAGTGAGGAAGTTGCCTCAGGTGGCAGATTCTGAGGGCAGGGAACAAAAAGACCTGCCTGTGTCATGCAGCCTGCCCTACCCTCTGGTGCAGTGGATGCTATTCCATTGCCTTTGATGAAATAATGTTCAGCGGCCAGACAAGTTGGCTTTTTTGGCAGGGTGGGGCAGAGGTGCACCATCTTTTCTTTTGCCTCAGACAGCAAAATGTCTTGGGCTAGCTCCAACCTGAGCTTCCCATCTCCATCAGTGTCCAGTCAAGAAAGCCTATTTTGAAAGTTATGTCAAAACTTGCAATAAATTCCCATCTAGAGCCCTGGTTTAATGATCAGAGCATGCATAATGGCTGATGTGTGTGCCAAGTTGTAGTGGGGAGGCCTCCCCTGAGCTTGGATAGCATCCTGAGCCATTGACATCCATGCTCAGGTTGTGGATGTTTTGTGTATGTGAGTGTGTTTTGATCTCAAACACGATTCTCATGCAGTTACTGTAGCTGAGATGATAATTCTGTTCTCTTTATTAATTCCTCATGAGCTCTTTAATAAATCATTGCAGCCCAGCTATTCTTCAGGACCATTTTGGCATTTTTTTTATGGTGCTATGGATACTTCCAACCTTGCCTAATCTCCAACTGAGAGACTTTGCATGTTTTAAAAATGCCAGGATGAAACCGCCACTGCTATATATCTCCATGGCATTAATTTTCACCCAGAACCATCTATTCCAGACATGGGGCGTATGACTTCATATGAGACTCAACTGATGCCTATTAAAAATCCTTATGCAGTCAGGATCATCTCTGAAGATATTTATTGCTACAAATTAAAGTTTGCTGTCATAAATAATTTCGCTGTATCCAAATTGGCACAGGGGTCTCATTTTTAAAAAACCAAAAACCAAAAAAACAGAACCATAGGAGACGTTAATTTTGCCCTTAAAAGGAAAGGTCTTATTCAGGTCTGAAGGAATGAACATTCTTGGAGGATTTGCAGTGCTTCCAGCAGCATCATGATACACTGGCAGAAGAAGAGAAGCTGGCACTTTACTTCTTTTCATAAATGAGCAGCTGAGGGGTGAATCTTAAGAAGCTGGGAGAGAAGGGGGAAACCTGCCATTTGAATCAAACTGTCCCCAAACATCTGGCAAAAATATGGAGGTGAATAGCACATTACCTATGTAACTATTGCCTGTATTCTGCAAGCTTTGTAGGGAAGATTCACCTACAAATACATGTGCTGTCGAGAACTGTTCTCAAGCTCTTCCTCTCTCCCAAAGTCCCTGCATATTGCATTATATATTTAAATGCTACAGAATTGTAATTGACCCCCCCCCAAAAAAAGTTAAAGAGGTACATAAAACTTTATTACGTGTTGCCAAGCATGCTATTATTTTCCGAGAATTTAAGTAACTTATTAAAATGCTTTTGGGGTGATGTCAGGGTGTATATAATTAAAATATGCATATTTTGCTTTTTTTAGAAGTTTGAAAAATGCTTTTCAGGCCAGACTCTTTTCAGCAGTTCCACACACAAAAACTAGAAGTATGCATTATCTGACATACACTGCCAGTGTAATCTGTATGTCTCCCAACCTGCAGCTAGTGTAACATTTAGTTTGACTTACCTAATGTTCCAATATCACAATATTGTATATTTTACCCTTTTTCCAATATTGGAAGCCAAAGCCTCTCCTCCTCCCAGAGGGGAGATGTTGTGAGCGGGAGCCGTTCCTGATTTAAGCGGCCGCGGCAGCCCCTGTGCCTCATTCTGCTTCCTTGGAGTCTTCGGATCACCCACCCACCTTCCCTTTAAGTCATATTTATGCTTTGAACTTGCTATGGACTTTGGTTGGTTGCCCTGGTTGGCCAGGGGGCCTGGTAGGAATTTTTATCCATTTGGCAGATTGGCACCAGCCTCTGGTTTTTTCGCCTAAAGGTAAAGGTAAAGGGACCCTTGACCATTAGGTCCAGTTGTGGCCAACTCTGGGGTTACGGTGCTCATCTTGCTTTATTGGCCGAGGGAGCCGGCATTTGTCTGCAGACAGCTTCCGGGTCATGTAGCCAGCATAACTAAGCCGCTTCTGGCAAACCAGAGCAGCGCACGGAAACGCCGTTTACCTTCCCGCTGGAGCGGTACCTATTTAACTACTTGCACTTTGACGTACTTTCGAACTGCTAGGTTGGCAGGAGCAGGGACCGAGCAACGGGAGCTCACCCCATCACGGGGATTCAAATCACCCACTTTCTGATCAGCAAGTCCTAGGCTCTGTGGTTTAGACCACAGCGCCACCTGCGTCCTCGTAGCAAATCATCACAACTTCTCTAGTATTGACGATTAGGCATTGGAATATGTGTTGTGTGTTGATGAGCAGGGTGTGGCCATCACCTACCCCTCCCCTTGTTGGGTATTCCGTTAAAGGAATCCAGCGGTCGTGGATCCTGTCCGATGCCCTGCTGGTGGCTAGGGCCATGGCATGACCCCCAGTGACATCAACAAGCTCCTCCCACTGGTTGTTAACCTTCTAATGACACACACACACCCCGCCGCGTGGGGTGGGGACATACATAGGTTGTTTGATCCAATGCCTAAGCCAATACCACTCACACACTGTAACCAATAAAGTTATGGCCTTCTTTAGCCCATTAACCTAAAATACATGTGTCCTCGTGTCTTATTTTACCACTACATGGACGGAGGGTCCTCGACTCACAACAAAGCAGAGCAGAGACAAGGAACCACATTGAGAACATCACAACATTAAGTACTCAAAGGCACAGAGGAGAAGTGGAGAGCAAGGCATGCACTTCTGCTTTGACAGCAGCCACGTATTTGACGTCACATAATTCTGACCTACAAGCCTATTTTCGAATGTCCAATTATGTATGTCATGATTGACACTACATCCAGAGCAGTGCTGGGTTTCAACCAACATTCAAGTCTTCACTCGGCTTCCACTGAACTTAATTTTTATTAACTGCAAGAGGCTGTTGCATTTATTTAGATGCAACAGCCATACTAGCAATTCTGTGGATGGGAGACTCTTCTTCTATTGTGTACAAATGATGGAGCAGCAACGCACTTGTTGGCTTCTATTTCAGCGTGCACGCATCATAAAAAACCAAACGTAAATTCATGAGATCTTAAAAGAAAGGGAGCGCTGATGTTTCAATCAAGTGATTAGCTAGAGAAAAGTGAAGAGAGAAATCTATGGGTTGCTGTGTCAAATTTAATTAAGTATCTAATACATTATGGTGTCCCTTTCCCCCAAGATGAAACAATGTTGAAATAATGTACCTTCAATCATGCAATAAGGCGTGAGAGTCAGGACTATAAACTTGCAATTATGTTTGACCTTAACAAACAGGCCATGTCTCTCCCTCTCTCTCTTAGTGGAGGAGAGGGATCTTATTAAAAGGGGATTTATAGAAAAGGGGCACTAGAAAAATGCAAATGGCCCTCTATCCTAACCCAGTTATCGAGGCAGTAACATATATATACAAGTATATGCCTACCATGCCAAATCCTAAGATCAAATGTGCTTTGACGATAAACTAATTCTAGGATAGCTTACCTATCTTTATAAGAGAAAATTCACCCATGAACCAAAGCTAAGCAGTTGACTCCTTACCTCTCTTGCCCTGACCTAGACACTGTGATCCATGCGACAGTCACCTCCAGGCTTGATTATTGTAACTCACTCTACGTAGGGCTGCCCTTGAGACTGACCCAGAAACTCCAGCGGGTGCAGAATGCCGCGGTGAGACTCCTTACGGGGTCTTCGCCATGGGATCACATTCACCCGGTGCTATACCAGCTGCGCTGGCTCCCGGTGGAGTACAGGATCAGGTTTAAGGTGCTGGTTTTAACCTTTAAAGCCCTATATGGCCTAGGACCCTCGTACCTATGGGACCGCCTCTCCTGGTATGCCCCACGGAGGACCTTACGGTCTTCAAATAAAAACATCTTAGAGATCGCAGGCCACAGGGAGGATAGGCTGGCCTCAACCGGAGCCAGGGCTTTTTCAGTCATGGCCCCAATCTGGTGGAACGCTCTGTCACAAGAGACTAGGGCCCTGCAGGACCTGACATCTTTCCGCAGGGCCTGCAAGATGGAGCTGTTCCACCAGGCCTTTGGCCAAGGCACAGTCTGACCCCCCCTCTCCTTCTGTAATCCTCATAGAACTCTAGCCCAATGGTTACCATTAATTTGATTCTGAATTGATTTTAGAATGTATTTTAATTAATTGACTATATGATTTTATGTATACGATGCTATTTTTACTTGTTAGCCGCTCTGAGCTTTGGCGGGATATTATTATTATTATTATTATTATTATTATTAAAAAAGCATGGGAATTTTAAATTTCAAACCTTAAGCATGGAAATTGTAACTTCTACATCATGGGTTGGGTCCATGCTTAGTCATGCATATCTTAACTGCCACTGATTCCAATGGGTCTCTCTCTTCTAAGCATGGCTAACTGTGGACCCATAGTAAGAATAAATATAATCTGAAGTTTCACAGATGGCTTTCAAAATAGTTTCCAATAGTTACATTCAGACTTTTCTTTGATCTTGCAACTCCAGTCCTCTTGTCTATAGAGTGGATGAAGCTCAGGATACTATGACGACAGTGCTTTCATTGGAATTAGAGTGAACTGCATGCGTTGGTTGTGTGAGTGACAGATTGTAAAGTTTGATAGTTGGACAACCAGAGAGTGGGGCAAATGGGCAGGTTTCCATTTCATTATGAGACAACAGCATACAAGTCATATAAAGGAGGAATTAAGGAAATCCTGCCTTTGGAAGTAAACATGCAGATAGAATTGGCCTTTGCAACTGATTAGCATTGCTTAAAGTGAATTAATTAGATCTTCAGAATATGGCAATAATGCTTGAAGAATCCAGTCTTTATGAATTCTTATATAACCTGGGCTTTTTTTCAGCCGGAACTCACTGGAACTCAGTTCCAGCACCTCGCAGGTGGGCGCCGTTGCCATTTTAAGAAAATAAGGGAGGTGTTTATGGCGCATTCTGGCACCTATTTATCTAGAAAAATAGGACTGCATATAACATAAATTGATCTGCACCTCCCGGACTAATGTGCAGTCTCAGAAACGTTTTTGAACATAAATACGTACACTCAAAATTACGTATTTTAATAAGAATGCTTATGTGGTCCAGAAACTTATTTTGCTGGAGGTGGTGGCTGTGGGCGCTCCCAGACCCTGCCAGGGACTGAACAAGGGTGACAAAAACTCCCAGCATTTGGGAAATTATATTCTGTTGGGTAATATATACTCTGCATGCCATTTGGAGGTGCTCACCTCAGTGGGAACTCCGCATAAAGCATCATTTTCCCAACAGACTGGAGCAAGATGTAATCTTAGTCCAGTACCAGTGAGAAGATATTCCCCTCATCAGAGATTCTTCACCAGAGCCTGGAAATAATCAAAGCTACATCTGATGCTCTGGACATCACCTCTGCTTCCCCTGCCCCAAGGTAAGTTTGGGGGGGAGGGGCTGGTGAAAGAAATGTCTGGCTGGATTGGGACAAGAGGGACTATGCTGACCCTGATACTGCTTGCAAGGGGATGTTAGGATTATCCTACTTTCGTGTAGGACCCTGGCAGAGACACATGCCCGACTGGCATGTTCTCTCCCTCCTGGTTGATCGTTCGGGAGCTTCAAAAGCTTTCTCCAACCTGAACATAACAGCAACTGATACCAAGAAGCATCAGCACACTTAGGGATCTGCAGAGTATTCGCAGTTTGCGTAACAGAACTCAGTAGCACAGCATTTTGGCTAATCTACTTTATTTACATATAATACACTCGGAGCATTCTGCCTTAGCTCCTTCCTCTTTCTCATCAGACAGCAAAAGAGAAAGAACAAAGGACAACAGTCCCACTTCATGGAACACAGTAACACAAACATCCTGTCTCCGTCACTTCCCACACTGTGGAATGAAAACATACACCGTCATGTGATAGACAACAATCTCATGACTGCAAACACGGAGCAGGAATCCTAACAGGGGAATCTACCTTTGCGAGCACCCTGATCAAAACTTGTGGGCTCCTTCGTTGACGCCTTGTGATTTTTTGAAAGGTTTTGTGTCGGCCACTTCTGGAAAGTTGGAGTAATTCAGTTCTGCGGTTTCATTCAGTTCAGCTCTTATGTCTCATGAAATGCAACGTTAGGATTGTGTGGTGCTGAGAAGGCATAGTCAGCTGTAAATACTGCTCTGTACTGAAGTGACATTGCTAAGATCCAGTTTTATCAAGCATATCATAACACAAACAGGGATAATGAGTCTAAGGCCAATTTCATACTATGCAGATGTGATTAAATCAGGTGGAACAGCCAGTAATGAGGAATAATAAAGGACTTTGGTTTCTGAAAAGCTGTTCCTCAGCTCATTTATAGGAAATCCATCTTGACAAAGATAGATGTGAGAGGCCGAACTACTGAAAATGGAGTGCATTTTTATATCAGACCTTGCCAATTCAATCCTAGTGGATCAGACGGCTGTGCAGGTGTAGTATTGGGTTCAGAATGAAAATTGGAGAAGAGTTGATGTGCCATCTTATACCAGAACTTTTTGCTGAAATGATACTGCACTGCTGGGTAGGTGGGATAGAATAATATACATATGGAGACTTCTTTGTTGTGACACTGGTACAATGTTGATGAGCCAGTTTAGGATGTGTTTGGTGGGAAATAAGAGAAGCAGAAAATTCCTGAAGAGCCACTGAATTTAGAAAATTAGACTGATATGATGTATTAGTACCCTTGAAGGGGAAGAAATACTCCCAATTTTTGGAATTGCGGTTTAATTTAAAGTTGAATATCACTGATCATCTGTGTTTCCTCACTGGTCCATACGACTTGTTTAGCCAACATTGTCCTCATTCTAAATAAGTTTCATTTAATCAAATATCCAATCTAAATGCTTATTTTATTTATTTAATTAATTAAATTCGTACACTGCCCTTCACCCACCAATCTCAGCGCAGTTCACAACATAAAATTACACCACAAAAAAACGCAAAATACAGAATAAAAGCAAGAACAAAAACAAACAAAAAATCCCCTCTCCCATAACACATTTAAAAGGGCATCAGATGTCAATCAGCCAAAGGGAATGTTGGAGGGTATGCAAGGGGTTCAGAGGGCGGCTCAAAAGGAATGTTTTCGCCTGGCACCTAAAAGTGTGTAATGAAGCCGCCAGCCGAATCCCCCTGAAGAGAGAATTCCACAAACGGGGAGCCACTGCAGAAAAGGCTCTTTCTCAAGTTGCCACCCTCTGAAACTCTTGCATACCCTCCAACATTCCTCAGACAATAAGATAGGTTCCAGGATAAGGTCCTTTTTTCGAAGATAACACCTCAAAAATGTTGCCGTTTTCATAACTGGGAGGACTTGGGGAATGTTTATCTTCCCAGATAAGTTATCCGAGAAGATAATATCACTGCAAGGATCCAAAATTATAGAACTGGAGAAGAGAACTCAAAATGAGAAAAAAAGATAAAATTTTGGAGAAAATAAAAGAGGGTGAGAAGAAACTGAGAGCGAAACCAAAGTCACAAGAGATTCTGAGAGAAATAAAATTACACCAAGTTCAATATATGAAGATGATGAATCAGGAAATAGAATGGTAAATTAAACAGATGAGACAAAGGACATTTGAATTGGCCAATAAATGTGGAAAACTGTTGGCTTGGCAAATGAAAAAAAGACAAAAACTTAACACCATTACCAACTTGGAAGTAGAAGGAAAGAACATCCAGAATCCAGTGGAAATTAGAAAATGCTTCCAGAGGTACTTTAAACAGTTATATACACAAGGGCCACAGAAAGAGTTTGATTTAGACCAATTCTTAAAAACAAATGGACTACAAAAAATCTCTCAAGAGAATAATTTAATGTTGAACTATAAAATAACAAAACAGGAGGTGGAAGGTGCCATCCAGAACATGCAGTTGGGCAAATCTCCAGGGCCAGATGGCTTAACCTCGAAATATTATAGATCTTTGAAGGATTGGATAATTCAACCACTAAAGGAGGTTTGTAATGAAATTTTGGAGGGGGAAAAAGCGCCAGAGTCATGGAAGGAAGTTTATATTACACTAATACCTAAAAATGAGTCTGAAAAGACACAACTTAAGAACTACCACCCCATATCCCTGCTTAATGTGGATTATAAAATTTTTGCAGATATTTTGGCTAAAAGGTTAAAAAAAGTATTAGCAGAGGAGATACATAAAGACCAAGCTGGCTTTCTCCCGGGTAGACACTTGTCTGACAACACGAGGAATATAATCAACATTTGGAGGTGTTGCAAGTGAATATTAATACTAAAGCAGTTTTAATTTTTGTAGATGCGGAGAAAGCCTTTGATAATATTTCTTGGAGTTTCATGAAGAAAAATCTTCAGGGGATGGGGGTTGGTCAAGGGTTTGAAAATGGTATAAGTGCAATTTACTCAGAACAAAAGGCTAAACTAATAGTTAACAATGTGGTGACAGAGGAATTTAAGATAGAGAAAGGGACACGACAAGGCTGCCCAATTTCCCCATTGCTTTATTTCGGTCCTGGAGGTTCTGCTAAATATGATCAGAAGGGACCGTCTGATCAAAGGTATACAGGTCGGAGCCAAACAGTACAAATTGAAAGCTTTTGCAGATGATTTAGTATTGACGTTACAGGAGCCAGAATCTAGTACTAAAAGAGTAATAGAATTGATTCAAGAATTTGGTCAAGTGGCAGGATTTAAGTTGAACAAGTTAAAAACTAAGGTGCTTGAGAAAAATTTAACACCGATTGAGAAAGAGAGGTTTCAGAAGGAGACAGGTTTAACATTGGCTAAGAAAGTAAAATACCTGGGGGTTAATATGACCGCTAAGAACTTAAACCTATTTAAAGACAATTATGAGAAATGTTGGTCAGAAGTGAAAAAGGATCTAGAGATATGGTCAAACTTGAAGCTTTCCTTGTTAGGTCGAATTGCTGTTATAAAGATGAATGTATTGCCAAGAATGTTATTTTTGTTTCAATCATTGCAAATCTTGGACAAAATGGACTGTTTCAAGAAGTGGCAGAGAGACATTTCTAGATTTGTTTGGCAGGGCAAGAAGCCCAGAATAAAATTTAAAATATTAACTGATGTAAAGGAAAGAGGTGGATTTGCCCTGCCAGACCTTAAACTTTATTATGAATCAGCAGCAATCTGCTGATTGAAAGAATGGCTGCTTCTTGAGAACACAGACATTTTGGATCTAGAAGGTTTTAATAATGTTTTTGGGTGGCATGCATATTTGTGGTATGACAAGGTTAAAGCACATAAAGCATTTAAAAACCATATTGTTAGGAAAGCATTGTTAAATGTCTGGATAAGATATAAGGACTTACTCGAAAATAAAACCCCAAGGTGGCTGTCACCGATGGAAGCAAAGGCACAGAAAAAACTCAATATGGAGGCCAAATGGCTGAAATATTGGGAAATTTTGGAACAAGAAGGAGACAAATTGAAATTGCAGAGTTTTGAGAAATTAAAAGACAAAGTGCGAGACTGGCTTCACTATTATCAAATAAGGGAGGCTTATAATTTGGACAAAAAAATTGGCTTTCAGGTGGAAAAATCAAAATTGGAAACAGAACTGTTAGATCCCAAAACAAAGATACTTTCAAGAATGTATAACTTGCTGTTGAAATGGAATACTCAGGATGAAACGGTTAAATCGGCTATGATCAAATGGGCACAAGATGTTGGACATAACATTATGTTTGCTGACTGGGAACAGTTGTGGACTACAGGTATGAAATTTACGGCATGTAATGCCCTAAGAGAGAATATTATGAAAATGATATATAGGTGGTACATGACACCAGTCAAGCTTGCAAAAATCTATCATTTGCCCGATAACAAATGTTGGAAATGTAAAGAAAACGAAGGTACATTCTTTCACCTTTGGTGGACGTGCCCAAAGATTAAGGCTTTCTGGGAGATGATCTATAATGAATTGAAAAAGGTATTTAAGTATTCCTTTCTAAAGAAACCAGAGGCCTTTCTGCTGGGCATAGTCGGCCAATTGGTGCCAAAGAAGGATAGAACTTTCTTTATGTATGCCACAACAGCAGCAAGAATACTTATTGCAAAGTATTGGAAGACACAAGATCTACCCACCTTGGAAGAATGGCAGATGAAGGTGATGGACTATATGGAATTGGCGGAAATGACTGGCAGAATCCGAGACCAGGGAGAAGAATCGGTGGAAGAAGATTGGAAAAAGTTTAAAGACTATTTACAGAAATATTGTAAAATTAATGAATGTTAGAATGATGTTGGATAGAAACTAAGTGGTTTGTAGCTGTAATGTTGTATAAGGGAATATGAAAAAATGGATTATTAATAGGTAAAAATCTAATGTTACAATATTTTAAGATTAAAGACTAGGATAAACAAAGAGGGGAGGGATTTGCTGAACTAACAAACTGAATTGGAATACAAAAAAGGGAGGCATGAGGAGGTCCAGGAAATAAGCAAATGAAAGATAAGTAACGGAAAGATTGAATTGTTTTTAACTATTTTTATTTTGTATTTTTGTATTTTTCTTTTTTCTTTTTTTCTTTTGTAATATTTTGAAAATCTTAATAAATATCTTAAAAAAAAAAAATTATAGAACTGGAACTCTTGCTGCCTGTGGGTAAGGGCCAGACACCCTATCTCACCCTGTGCCACAGCCCCGATCCAATTCAGGGGCCCACAGCATCTTTCTGAAGAAGATTTGATTACTTGCCAAACACGTGGTTTCAGTGGCAACTCCTCCTAAGCACCACAATGGACAGTCTCGGCCTTCTCTCGACGATGCGATGTTGCAGGAACACTGAGCATGGCATCACACACATAACACACACTGGGCTCTCTCAATCTTGGGTGCAAGTCGGCACCTCTGTATTCACACACATTGTGCAACATAATGGTTCTCTTTCCACTCTCCCCGACCCAGACAACTGGCTTATTGAGTAGTAGACAAGCACATTTTGGTCAATTATGACCTGATAACTGGTGTTCTGTGTTTATTATCTCCTGATCTTGAATCACTGTCAAATCCATGTGCCGTTGATGATGAATAATTCATGGAAGAACATTAAGCTGCCCATAATTTAGTTCAGGTCAAATCAAGTCAAGCAGTAAAAGCTTGCAAATAAAATGGTTTTCTTCCATGCAGTGGCTTTCCTCTCCTCTTCCCATTTATTATCAGTTTCGCATTAGCTAGTGGATGCTAATGCCATTTGAATATGAGAGCGACAGCAACATGATTGTCTGTGATCCAGCTGTGAATACTACAGACAGGCATCCATTTCCCCACTTAAGTAAATGAGAGAGTAGCATCTCCAGCACTCTCTTTTTTAATTAGGTAGGTCAGTGCTTCCCAGACATCTGAACTGAGGCACACTTTCCCCCCCTGAATTAAAAGTAAATCAACACTTCACCCTTGCAATCCCAAAAGGATTCATTTCACAAGTGCACTTGCCTTCAGAGGATTCCTCCTCCTAGATTTCTGCACGAGTAGACATGGTGACTCATAATAGCCCATGTGTCAAAGGAGATGCAAGGTCTTCATGCTCCTCAATTCTTCAGAGCCAGCGTGGTGTAGTGGTTAAGAGCGGTGGACTCGTAAGCTGGTGAACTGGGTTTGCTTCCCCGCTTCTCCACATGCAGCTGCTGGGTGACCTTGGGCTAGTCACACTTCTTCCATGCTTAAGGTTTGAAACTTAAAATTCCCATGCTTAATAATAATAATAATAATAATAATAATAATATTTTTTTTTTATTTATATCCCACCCTCCCCGGTCAAAGCCGGGCTCAGAGTGGCTAACAAGTAAAAATAGCACAGTATACATAAAATCACACAGTCAATTAATTCTAAAATCAATTCAGAATTAAATTAATGGCAACCATTGGACTAGAGTTCTATGAGGATTACAGAAGGAGAGAGGAGGTCAGACTGTGCCTTGGCCAAAGGCCTGGTGGAACAGCTCTGTCTTGCAGGCCCTGCGGAAAGATGTCAAGTCCCGCAGGGCCCTAGTCTCTTGTGACAGCATTCCACAAATCAGAACCACAGCCGAAAAATCCCTGGCTCTGGTTGAGGCCAGCCTAACCACTCTGTGGCCTGGGACCTCCAAGTTGTTTTTGTTTGAAGACCGTAAGTTCCTCTGTGGGACATACCAGGAGAGGCGGTACCGTAGGTACGTCATCCCCAGACGGCATGAGTTCAACAAGGACGAGTCCTTTCTGATCTCAGCCAGGAGGGAGTTCCACAGAACTGGGGGGCTGCACTATTGAATTCCCAGCTCCTGTGAATAGAAGCCATGAATCTGAGCTATGGTGGACCACTAGCAATGACTCCACTGAAGACCTTAGTCCAGGATATAAGGAATAAGATGGTCCTCAAGGTGTCTTGGAACCAAGTTATTAAGGACCTTGTAAATTAATACAAGAACATTGAGCTTGGGCCAGCAGCATATGAGCAGCTAGTCCAAGCTCTTAAGCACTGGAGTTATGCGCTGGCAGCACTCTGTCTCCTCCGACAGTCTAGACACAGCATTTAGCACCAGCTGAAGCTTCTGAACCAGACCAAAGGGTAGCCCCACACAGAACACATTGCAATAATTTAGTACTGAGGAGTGATAAAGTGATCTCACCACACTGAATGCCATCTCCTGTCCCAACAAGAGTCACGGCTAGAGCAGTGTCGCATGCAGACACAATAGATCCAGCCTTCTCTCAGTGCTGGGACTAGCAGGGATCTGAAATTGTTTAATTTCTTGCGACACACAGTCACGTCCTAGCACTCTGTTTGGAAATTAAGGAGCTTGGGAAAAATACATGTCATGGGTCTGCAGTCTCCCCTGGGACCACTTATAGTGTTATGTTTGGGTGGTAAACAATGTTAAATTGTTTGCAGACTCTTTTCTTTTTCTCTGAAAAAAATCTTTTTTTTGGGGGGGGCAGAGCACAAATTCTAGTCTTGGGTTCATGCATATCCCCTGAGAAGAATGCTGTTTTATGTCTCTCACACCTTAAAACTTTCAAAGGATGGAGACATTTTCTTTTGAAAAGCTCACTGTCCCCCAAAGCACACTGAAAGCTTTGTGTCATTTCCACACCCGACCCTCAGCTAACAGTGTGACTGGGGACATCTGAACCATGGAGACAAACAATTAGGCCTTTGATGGAGGATGCTTCAGATTCTTTTCTGCCTTCAGGCACATATGCATGATAGCAAACAAAGCCACTTGAAATATCAGGGTAATAAATATTGGTTTGTTTTAAGTGTCCTTCAAGCAAAGATGTATAGTATAATATGGATATCTGGTAGGTATCTGGTTTTAAAGGACAAAAACAGATTTGTTGTTATTGTTGTTTAGTCATTTAGTCGTGTCTGACTCTTCATGACCCCATGGACCACAGCACGCCAGGCACTCCTGTCTTCCACTGCCTCCCGCAGTTTGGTCAGACTCATGCTGGTAGCTTCGAGAACATAATCCAACCATCTCGTCCTCTGTCGTCCCCTTCTCCTTGTGCCCTCCATCTTTCCCAACATCAGGGTCTTTTCCAGGGAGTCTTCTCTTCTCTTCTCATGAGGTGGCCAAAGTATTGGAGCCTCAGCTTCAGGATCTGTCCTTCCAGTCAGCACTCAGGGCTGATATCCTTCAGAATGGATACGCTTGATCTTCTTGCAGTCCATGGGACTCTCAAGAGTCTCCTCCAGCACCAGAATTCAAAAGAATCAATTCTTTGGCGATCAGCCTTTATGCTCCTGCTCTCACTTCCATACATCACTACTGGGAAAACCATAGCTTTAAGTATACGGAAAACAGATACCTACCAGTACAAATGTTGGGTTTGGTGAGAAAAGAATTCACAATTGGCCACAATAACAAAATATGTTCATTTGGATGAAATAAACTGGGCAGATCCCCCCCCCCCCCCGTTTTTAATAGTAGCACCAGCTATGCCAGATGAGGACAGATTAAGTCCTTCTCTCAGTTCTTACCACACAGAGCTATTGAGATTGCAGGTTAAATGTAATCTGTGGGGCACTTCATACACACCATGGTGGTACAGAAACTATCATCTGTCATGGTCAGTTCAGAAATGGATACACAGTATCAACTGTGTGGATCATTTTCTAAGCCAGTATTGGCCTCCCAAGTTCATGGCTGGTCAACAGCTAGGTTTGAAGGACCTACCTGACTGATATCACCCACATGATACTGGCATGTTAAATATTGCCACAAGCCACAGAAAGGCAGTTCCCTCACCCACAGTAACACATGAAGGAACCACGGTTAACTAGCTTTTATTTAATACCATCACCTCCCAAATCAGTCCTTGGTGAACTTCAAAAAATAATGCCTCCGGACACTTGGTCACCGTGTTTCTTTAAATCAATTTCTCATTTTATGAAAAGGGCCGTGAAAATACATTGGCCATCCTTTTAAAAGGAAGTCAAAACTTACCTACAAAAGACTCCAGCACCCACTGCAATTTGGCAAATCAACTACTGCTTCAGCTGAATCCCAGCTGTTCTGGGTGGAATTGGCCTTGATGTGCCTGCAAGAAGATGAAAATACCTTCAGCCAGCTGTGACCATCTTGCTCATTCATTTGTTGATAAAACAACTCAAATTCAATCTGACATCCCTGTTTGGGCAGTGTCTGCGCTGGGGTGGTCCAAGGCACCCACATGTTACTTTTGCATGGATCACTTTGACATTGTGACCTTCAAGGAAATTGATGGGCAGCTGAGTGTTATGAATGCCACAACATGTGGAATGGACTCCTGACCTATCATAGTTAGTGAAGGGCTGGTCAGGGTGAAAGCTGGAAGATTTGCTATGAAAACACCTCCCATAGATCATTGGGTTGGGGGGCAGTTTTCCCATTTATTAAAACAAGTGATCTCTTACTTCCACCGTGACAATTTTGCTGGCTATAGGCAAGTGTCCAAATTCTTCTGCTTTTGGAAGAAACTGATGGAATGTATGGTGACAGAGCAACTCCAGGGCCTTATGCATGACTCACCTCTCCTCAGGCCTTTCAATCTGGTTATGGAACCAAGACAGCTTTCGCTGCATTGGCAGACAATCTTTGTTTGAAGGTAGATAGATGATAGATAGATTTTTTAAAAAATCTGTTTTCTTCTTCCTTGACCTTTTAGCAACATTTTACATGGTTTTTTATTGTACAGTTTTATGTGCAACTGTTGTAAACAATCTGAAGCTCAATCCAGACAAAACAGATGAGGCTAGTTGGGGGATCTGAATATCAGGAAATATGCAATCTACCTACTGTCACCAGTGTACATGCTTCTCAGATGAATCTAAGACATCTTGCTTAGATTTACTGTTGTTGGATAAGTGGGTGGCAAGAGCATGTAGGAATCTCTTTTTCCCCCAGCTACATTCGGTACACTGATGGCATCCTTTTGTTAAAAAGGAAGTTCAAACAACAACATGCTTCCATAACCTGAAAAATTGGACAGTTATAATGCATTTTATGTGAATCTATATATAAGTTTATTGTTCTAAGTTGCTTTTGGGATATATGGGCTTTAGAAAGCAAGAACGCAAGCAAGAAGCATAGGCTTTCTGGGTCTGCGACTAACGTATCTCAGAGAGAGGACCTCAACCCATATTAATCCATTCATCTTTGATAGGCCTGCTGCGAGTCCCTTCCACCTTGGCAGATCATGTTGCCAACAATATGGAGAAGGGCCTTGTGCCAGATGGGAAGAGGTGTCATTCCACACAGTCAGATGTTTGATCAGTGTTCTTCACTTTAGTTGCCTTCCAAATGCTACCTACTTATCTAAATCCTTGGTAACACGGAGGGAAGAATATGGTTTAGTTTGTGCAGTGTTTCTGTTTTAGATCTTAATACTCCCCGTGATAGAGTTTAGTTTTGTCTGCGTACTTCTGTGAGGTACCCCACCTTTCTTGACAGCCTCAATGCGGATAACAATAACTACAATAATACACGAACAAAGAAAACAGCAGGTTAAAAAGGTACAATAAGTAAACTGCCAGCAGCACAAATGAATCAGCTATCTGGCAATTTAGAGGGGACAGATGTCATAAAGTCCAGGAAGAATAGGGCAGTTTTCACTTAGCACCTAAAATGCATTAAAGAAGGAACCAGGCAATAACATTTGAAATGGGATATGCAAAGTATTGAAGCCAATACTTTGAATTGAGTCTGGATACAAGCTGGCAGGGAAGTCCTTTTAGCATTTGTATAATACTAAGAAAGTCCCAAATAATAAATGGAGAGAGCCCCAAATAATAAACCAGAGGACCCCAAATAATAAACTAGACTTGGAACCAGTTGCATTTTCCAGATGCATTTCAAAAGTAGTCCTCCCTGCCATGAAATATAGAAACCAAGTCAGTCTGGAAGTTATCAGAGCATGGATAACTGTGGCAAGAACATCTCTCTCAAAACCTGATGAAAGGTGCTGATGGGCTACACAACATCCAGCTGCAATGGCTGATACCGAAAAGGGAGAGTGTGATCCTGCTTAGAATAGGTTGAATGACACTTCCCAGGAGTTATAAACCATAAACCAGCAACATCTTTCTCTTGTTGGGTTGAGCTTTCTTGCAGTTTGTTCCATTATACAAAAACATTTTAAATGGATGTGAGCTATTTTGAGCGATTGTGGAAAGTGGGGGATATAAATATTGTAAGTGAACGAGCAAACATATTCAGAATTAAGGAACAGCAGTGGCTAAGAGTGCTTTGAACATTCCCCAAAGCTATATAAATGCTGTTGATGATTTTAACATTTTGCTTCATCCCTTCCTAAGACCCTAAATAACAACAAGAACAAAGACACTCTGCATTTAACATTTCTAAATCACTTCAGTCAAAAATCTCCCTCCTGTCTGCTAAAGACAACTCCCCCAAGCAGCTGTGAATAATATTTTAAGGAATGATCAATGTTTTCTCGTCAGTAATGTATCCTTTGTGGGAAAATGTCTCTCTTTCTTCCTAAGGCTCACTGTTGAATTTATACAGCCAAAGATTTGATGAATGTAAGCTAATAAAACTATAGTGTGGTCATTCTTGATTCATTATCTTAATCTTATCATTAAGTGTATGAAGACTTTTAGGAACAGATAAGCTTTCTTTCTTTCTTTCTTTCTTTCTTTCTTTCTTTCTTTCTTTCTTTCTTGCAGGCTTATTCATGTTATGTTTCCAAGTTCTTTTCTTAATATCCAATTTCTCTGTTAGAACCCATCTACTGAAATCCCTTAAACAAAAATTTGTATCAGTAACATCTGGCTATTAAGAAAAGAACCTGGAAACATAACCTTGGAACTATAGAAACATTTTACAGTTTAAAATGTGTGTGTGTGTCCACACACGCATGGATAATTGCGGGCAGAAGACTTGAAGGGTCTTATATTGGATATGGACTTGAACATCTTGGCTGATAATAAACATTTGATGATAAACCAGCCAAATGTGCTGTTGGACAGCTCATCCTTATGAATGCAAAACTTCCAATCTTTCCCAGAGGGCCGAAAGGGGGGGACGACTGCAGCACTCTGAATGTTATTACTGTGGGATAACCAGCCTCTTATAGCCAACCTGCTTTAATTGATGCATGAAGGAGTCAATACCACAGAATAAGCTGTCCTGTCAGGTTTTGCTGGGTCATCTCCCCTCACCTTGGGAGGAAATAGGTAAACAAACCTATTGTTTTCCCCTCGTCTACCTGAGAAGCTCAGCATGTGAAGAGGTTTGAGATGTTTGTTCCAGCTCAAGCCACATGGCTCTCACCAGTCACTCTTGAGTTCCTATATCAATAATTTAGGAACCTGCATTAGGTTTTACTGCCTGTGCAACTTTTGGGGAGTTTGTAAGAAAACCATTTTTTAACTTGCCAAATGTGTGGTCTTTTTCCTATGCTGGGGGATGAGGGAAACTTTGGAAACAAACTTTTAAAGGGGACATTTTGGAACTCACTTGTAGGGGTATATTTTGCTGATTTAACAGCCTATATTTCCCTGTTTTACTTTGTTGTGTACTTTGTCACTTTCATTCTCTACCGAGCTTCTCTCATAAAATACAGTAGTTTTCGAATGCTGAAAACCTGGAAGTAAATGCTTCGGTTTTCAAACAAGTCTCAGAAGTCAAACATGCTACGCAGCTTCAACTGAGTGCAAGATCTGGAAGCCTAGCTGTCGGCTATTGAGGTTTTGGTTTTTGAACGTTTCGGAACTTGAACGGTCTTCCAGAATGGATTAAGTTCGAAAACCGAGGTACCACTGTAGTATTTGCCCCAAACTTGGATCTTGTGTCATGACTGGTTAGATGAAGAGGAATGGATTCGGGGAACCAGCTGGAGGACCACCAAGGGAGAAGGCTCAGAGTCAGGGCAGTGTTGGTGGGACAATGATAAGTGCTCAGAGGGAGAAGAAGGAGAAGATTGGGAAGAGGAGGTATCAGAAGCTGAAGAGGTAACAGGGCCTAGTGAGCTGGGAGAGTCCAGAACTTGAAGCAGGAGAGTGGGATGAGGGAGACCAGGAGTCAGAGATGAGTCAGGCAGGTGGACAGTCATGGCTGTTTCCTCATCCTGCTGTAATAAGCGCCACTCCCGACTTGTCAGTCAGAACCAGAAGACGCATGAAAAGGATGGAGGATAGGTTGGCTGCATGCAGACCTGGTGTCTGATTGCTTGGGAAGGCCCTGGAAAGGAGGGGATTGGCGGGCAGTCTCAACAACTGAGTTTCAAGAAGACCATGGGAATGAGCTGCTATGCTCATTAGACTTGACACTCAGACAAGTCTGTGGAAATCATGTTTTTGCTAGTAAAGAGTTAACTCCAACTTTGAACTGTGTGATTACTGACCAGGATGCTCCTATGATATCTTGGCATGCAGGAATTCTCCTTTTATACCTTCCCTCACCCCTTGAACCAACAATTACTAATCTCTAGCATTTTGCCCAGTAAATGGTACCTTACTGGATTTTATTTTCAGTTGATATAATTCTAATTCCCCTCATCAAGGCACTTGATAATATTAGACTAATTCAGAAACACGTGATACAATGGTTGCTTCACATTGTTCTTGCTGAAGCAAATCAATCAGCAAAGTCCTGGAAACTATAAATATACTCATAAAAATATCAACATGATTGATCTTTGCATCAGCATTCACAACAGACACCATCTGTGGGCTTGAGTAGGTCAACTTCTCTAAGAAAATAGAGTGTTTCAGAATGGACTTTTGTGCAAGAAAATGCAGAAATCTGAAGTCACCACACTACTTACAAGGAAAACTGTGATTGTTTGTTTAGAATATAATGCCTCTCCCACCCATCTATTAAAAACCTAATATTTTATTAAACACATTCTTGGATTTGCTGTGAAAATTTTGCATAAGGAAAACCTGAGGTGAATTGGGAAGTTCCATCCTGCTTAGATGAAATATCTGAGTGATTTTGGAGAAAACCCAGATATAGTTTCTGATAAGATCAGAAAAAATTCAGGGATGCTTCACATATGGGACGTAATGAATTTTCTCTGCCCGGCAGCGAATTTTGGGAGAAAGGTATATGCAACTGTAATTGATTCTGGTGTTTTACGCTCTCTCTCGCTCTCTCTGTGCGTGTAATGTGCTATGTGTTCTAATATTGTTCTGTAAACCACCTTGGCATTTCTTTGAAATGAATGGCAATAGACAGATAATTTGAATGAATGAATGAATGAATGAATGAAGGCTGAGCTGACCTTCCTCCATTGTTTGTCTTGCTAATGGGCAGTGAAATGGGAGGCCATTTTGGCCATTTTCAGCTAGGAGAGGGCAAAATCCAGCAGCCAGGTGGTAGCCATCCGTTCCCCAAGTCCTTTCAGAATAATGTCATGCTGAGAAAAGTTCCAAAGGAAAGATCAGTGCCATCAGCCACTTAGAAGAATGGCAACAAATAAAGCTGAGTGAAGGGAGGTGATTTGGTGGCATCTCTCACTGTCCTGACACACATACATAGACACATTTCGAAATTTTGCTCTCAGCCTAATGTGTACTTTGTTGCTCTTGATTATTTTTAATTGGACTCCTGCTGCGGTGAAGCTGACATGGATCCCTTTCAGACTTTGCCTTTAGAGTTATTCAGTTTCACTACACTGGAAGAGCACTCAGATATCTCACCATGTTTATCTGATAGCCAAGATCAGATAAAGAGGACTTATTTCTAAATTAAAGCACATAAGTTGGCCCTTGGCCATTGTGGAGTGCCATAAAAAATATTTAAATATCCTCAGGAAAGCCACATCATAAATAGTTTCAGACCATCGCCATCATCATAATTTATTATTTATACCCCGCCCATCTGGCTGGGTCTCCCCAACCACTCCGGGCAGCTTCCAATAGAATATTAAAATACAATAGTCTATTAAACATTAAAAGCTTCTCTAAACAGGGCTGCCTTCAGATGCCTTCTAAAAGTCTGATAGTTGTTCTTCTCTTTGACATCTGGTGGGAGGGCGTTCCACAGGGTAGGTGCCACTTCCAAGAAGGCCCTCTGCCTGGTTCCCTGTAACTTGGCTTCTCACAGCGAGGGAACCACCAAAAGGCCCTCGGCACTGGACCTCATAGAGCTCATCATATATCCAAACATCCTGGTTATGGTTTTGTATGCTAGCCATGAGTAGCTGGTGAAAATCCTGGAGGTTATGGTCAGTTTCATCCATTGTTGGACCTTACAGCCTTAGGAAAGGAGGCAGGAGGCATGACTCCCTGTAGTTGGGTAGGCATTAAAGCAAATCTGCAGAGATCCCTGAGCCAAGAAAACACAGTCAGACCTGTGTTTGTTGTCGAGGCAAAATCTCAGCTTGATCTGGCAGCTCAAGGTCAAGAGAAACCAGTAGTTCTTGAATGCATAGGGTATATCCTGGGATATTTCAGACACACAGCCTAACCTGCGTTGCTCAGCAGAGTTCAGATCCAACAGTTCCCACTTCTAACCCTAGTGGCTGCTAATGGTTTTAGGTTTCAAGGAGAAAGTAGTTTGCTTGCTCATTACTCTATGTCAGGCTTCCTCCACCTCGGCCCTCCAGATGTTTTGAGACTACAGTTCCCATCATCCCTGACCACCGGTCCTGCTAGCTAGAGATCATGGGAGTTGTAGGCCAAAAACATCTGGAGGGCTGAGGTTGAGGAAGCCTGCTCTATGTGGTACCCAACTAAGTTTTACTCAGAGTGAACCCACTGAAATTAATGAACCCAGCTTTGTCATGTTTCTTAAGGCCAAGGGGTGAATTCTGAGTAAAGCATAGCTGAATGAGAACATAAGATGAGGCGCCTGGATCAAGTCTATGCCCCATCTAGCTCAACATCCTGTGGCCACCCATATGCCCATTGGAAGCCTACTACTAAGACAACAGCAGTCTACCACCTGCGATTATCAGCAGCTGGCACTGGGAGGCATAACGCCTCTGACTGTGGAGACTGGTAACCTCCCCCTACTGTCAGGGGGCCACATAACACTAGTGGAGATGGCCAATGTATAGACATAATACACATGCATAACAAACACATGCACTTGGTACACTCAGTGCCACAGCACTGAGATCAGAGGTAAGTCCTTTAGGGGAAAAGAGTGTGCCCATTAGAAAGGATCTCTAAAGAGCAGGCGGATGGATTTATCTCTCAATCTTTGTGCTAAGCACTATTGTGCTAAGATCAGAGATAAAGCTGTCTGTTCTTTAAGACTAAAAGGCACCCTCACCCTAATGCTGGAGGATCTTAAAAGAGTAGACAAACAGCCTTATCTCTGATCTTAGCACTGTGGAGCTTAGCGCTAAGATCAGAGGGGGGAAACATTCCTGTGGTTGCTCTTTAGAGAAGGGGCTGGTTTACATATGCTTTTTCGTCACCTAATTACTTTAACATCAAGTGGCGACTTACGTGTGTGCCTGAGTCAGCACAGATCAAACACCACGGAAATAAGTTTCTTATTAGTGCACATAACTTCACACATAGTGCTTGTCAGTGGAGTCTATTTACATGCACTGAGATGCAATTGTTGACTGATCAAGTGATGTACATGTATATATGGGCCTGCCCACACCATACCTAGGTAAACATGGGGAGGGCTGCTTCTGTCTCTCAACACATTGGTGGTGTGCTATTTATTGCGCAGGCAGCAATTTTTAGATACTGCTGCAACCAAATGCCCTTTGAAGCATTAATGCAAAATAAGTCACCAGTGGTATCCAATAACAACCAAATTATTTGCATATATATGAGAGTTGATTGCCCTTGTAGTTTTCGTTTTAATGTACAGCTTGAACCTAAACTACATTAGTTGGATTTGGAGCCCAATCAATCCCATCCTCCTTTCCATGTTGACGGCTGCTCCACAAAGGAGTGTTGGTTGTGAGGTTCTTACGTGACAAATGGGACGTGGGCGGTGCTGTGGTCTAAACCACTGAGCCTCTTGGGCTTGGAGATCAGAAGGTCAGCAGTTCGAATCCCCGCCACAGGGTGAGTTCCCGTTGCTCTGTCCCAGCTCCTGCCAACCTAGCAATTCAAAAGCACACCAGTGCAAGCAGATAAATAGGTACCACTGCAGCGGGAAGGTAAGCAGTGTTTCTGTGCATTCTGGTTTCCGTCACAGTGTTCCATTGTGACAGAAGTGGTTTAGTCATGCTGGCCACATGACCCAGAAAGCTGTCTGTGAACAAACGCCAGCTCCCTCAGCCTGAAAGCGAGCTGAGTGCCGCAACCGCATAGTCACCTTTGATTGGACTTAACCATCCAGGGGTCCTTTACCTTTACCTTTTTTACCTTATGTGACAGAGATCCCACACTACACCTAGGTGGAGAGTCAGCTGCTGTAGTAGAGCACAAAATAGGATGTTGTAGGATTAGGGGCAGAATGCCTGAATCTTTCATTCCACTGGGTCTAAACACCTATGGATCCCTTGAGGGATTCCTCATCTACACCACCCTAAATTTGGCTTGACAAAAAGATACCCAAAAGTGCCTCTACCTCCCACCCTGGGATTTGAGCATGGTGCTGAATCCACTCTTCCACTCCTTTCCAGTCCCATTTATGATGGCCCTGTCCCCCCCCCCCATTAAAATAAATGAATGAAGCTGAGCTACCATAGTATGGTCTACGGCCATACTATCCTGAACATGCCCAATCTTATCCCGTTTGGGTCCCGTTTCAGACTGACTGCACAGAAACCCATTCCTTCCCCCTTCACTACCCACTCTGGATCTGACCCTCTACATGCTTGGGCTAACGTACGTATGATCTCCTTTCTTATCCTCCCTTTTCTTTTGCCACCTTTTGGACTTTCTGCAGATTTCAAGAAAAGTGCATTTTTCTTCAATGACTGCTTTGGTGTTTCCCAGTGGACAGTTAACTATCTAGGGTCTCCAAAATTTACACTGGATTCTTTCAATTCAGAATTTTATTTGTGTTTTTTTAAATCACCAGCTCTCTGGATTGATCTAAGGAAACAAGGCAGATGAAAGGTTAAAGTTTCATTTGAAAGGTAGTTTGGTAGATCCCTTGAAATTCTGGCAAAACCCCTGGGAGTCAGATGTTGTTAATTACTACTGCCAAGTGAGGCTGCTTTTCTAGTTCTGCAAGATAATTGCATAAATAATGAAGGGGCCTAATTTGACAGAGGTCTCATTATTAATGTATCTCCATGGGATGAATAGTTCATTCATCATTTTGCAGCAGTCAGATTATCTGCTATTATTTCTCACTTTCACTAGAATCTACAATCTACACTGCCATACCCACCCATTTACATGCCTCTTCTCCACCAAAATCTCCTTTCACAGGGGCATAAATTGTAAACATTTCTTAGGGGGATTGCCAAAGTCAGTCATAGAAATGACCCATTGAAATCAATGGACTTACACTCTGAGTATGACTGATGTTGGATATCTCTTCTAAGATATAAGGTATATAGATTTTGGGGTCTCATTCAAAGTTTCATGGTTTTGCCTACTTTTTAGGCTGTGTACACATTGACCCATTGTAGCACAAAAAATGTAGTTTTTCTTGGTCCAGAACTGTCCATGCTCATCCTCAACATGCTGCTTTCAATCTACGTAGATTGATTCTGGACCAGACATAGGCAAAGTCCAGCCCTCCAGATGTTTGGGACTACAATTCCCATCATCCCTAGCTAACAGGACCAGTGGTCAGGGATGATGGGAATTGTAGTCCCAAACATCTGGAGGGCCAGAGTTTGCCCATGCCTGTTCTAGACCTTACTGTCTCAAGGGTGGGTGTGGTTACTTGCTGCATATTTGAAAACCTTCCCCTTGATTAGATTATGGCAATCCTGCTATACCCGTAACATCATTGGGTAGGTATGGATATACCTACCATTGCCAGGACTGCCTACAGCTGTTTTCAAATTGACACACTGTGGGGCAAGGCAGAATCGATCTGCAACCAGTTTCTCAAGAAAGCTTTTCCGAGGCAAAAAACATGCAAAAAATCTAGATGGTTCGTGGACTGTGAAGAAGCAAGTACAGTGGTACCTCTGGATGCGAACGGGATCCGAACGAGAGTTCGCATCCAGAAGTGAACTCAACCCGCGTCCGTGTGTCTGCACATGCGTGGGTCGTGATTTGCCACTTCTGCGCATGCGCGTGATGTCATTTTGACTGCGCATGCGTGAGCGGCGAAACCCGGAAGTAATGTGCTCTGTTACTTCCTGGTCGCCACAGCGCGCAACCCGAAAATACTTATCCCGAAGCTACTTCAGCCTGAGGTATGACTGTACTCAGTCTCCATTCTAGAACAGAGTGTTGTGTGCAAGCAGCCTTAGTATCTTTTGGAATTAACTCTCAGGATGAGGATTGAGAACCTAGGAGCTGAAACTATTTTACATAGGGCTACCGGGTGGCGCTGTGTTTTAAACCACAGAGCCTAGGACTTGCCGATCAGAAGGTCAGTGGTTCAAATCCCTGCGACGGGGTGAGCTCCCGTTGCTCGGTCCCTGCTCCTGCCAACCTAGCAGTTCGAAAGCACATCAAAGTGCAAGTAGATAAATAGGTACCACTCCAGCGGGAAGGTAAATGCTCTGGTTTGCCAGAAGCAGCTTGGTCATGACCTGGAAGCTGTACGTCAGCTCCCTCGGCCAATAAAGCGAGATGAGCGCCGCAACCCCAGAGTTGGTCACGACTGGACCTAATGGTCAGCGGTCCCTTTACTTTTACCTTACCACCACCCGTTCATTTAAATCAGCCCCCTCCCCATCTTACAGTCTCTCCATAGTTCTCGATTTCTTTCTGCCGAAGAGAGTAACAGAGAGGTTGGCATCAATAAATGCATATTAATGTCAGGGACCGTGCTGAGGAGAGCTGCACTGAGGGAGCCACCCCCTCTTCTTGATCCTGATCCTGAATCTTCCCAGGAGCAGGAGGACAGTATAGATTTGGAACAGTGGTTTGCAGAAGGGCATAGTTCAGAAGGCAGAAGCTGGGAAATACTGAATGGGGAACAGCTACAAAAGAAACACTGGAAGAGAGAGGGTTAAGACATTCATAGTCTCTGGACAGCATTCCCACCCTATCCCCAAGGACAAGAAGAGCTCAGAGACTGTTAGAACAGAAAGCACAGAGGGTACAAACTCAGATTACAAAACGTAGGAGTGACATAGATTAATAGGGATGGAGGTGGGTGTGAGCCTTAATTGGGAGCACCGCCATTCTTGGTTTGTCTCTCGCTGTGTTTACTAAAGAAACTAACTGGTAAGAATTTCCTTTTGTTCGATCTGCTTATTACTGCCACGGGGGAGGAAGCTGATTCCCTGCAGCCTGACAATCAATTTTAAAACATTTGTGATAGAAAATAGTAGTCTTGCACTGGAGAAAAGTTAGAAGAGTCTCTTGAGATCGCTCTCTGCAGTGGCGGACCTTGAGGTCTTAAAATTTCAGCAGTGCCCTGTGCAATGCCAAAATATGGCACCCCCTGCCTTTCACGTTCCAGTCTAAATAATAGTTGTGGACCCCTGCGGCTCCACATCCCGTGCAGCTGAATCGATTGCACTCTCCTAAATCTGCCTCTGCTCTCTGGACTGGTTTGCATACAGTCTGAAACTGAATTTTGGCTTTCTTTGTGCAAATGTGCAAACATGCAGGCTTCCAGAGAGGAGATTACAGCTGCTTTGCTCCTGCTCTAGCCATCCTGCTGCTATGCGGCTGGAGCTAAGCCTTGGTGTGGCTGACTGAAGTCAGGTTTCTGAACCCAGGCTTGTGATTTGTCTTGTTTCACAGCTCATAGTTAGCCTGGAGAAAAGAAACCTCAAGTCCAATGTGGATGACATGCTGAGGCAAACCATATCTTAGCTCACAGCAGCAGGTGGGCTGATGGAGAAGTCAAGTGGCCACAATATTCTTTCTGATAATGCTCATGCCGTCACACTAAGCTGTGATCTGGCTTAGTGTCATGTGCAAACCAGATCTCTCTATTCCACCAGGAATAGCCATTGGGTTCTGCCCTGATTTAAAGCTGCTGTTCACAAATCAAGGCACCTAATTTGCACATTATACAAAATCTTTTTAATTATGCAAATCAAGCGCATTGACTGTTGGTTGCAAGGTCTACCACTGGCTTTGTGTCTGCTCCTGGCAACTGCCTCAGGAACATGGGGAAGAATCGGCAAATGCATCGTTTCACCTATTTGCTTATGCTTTCTTTTCAGACAACAACAAAGCCCGAGGGAAAGCTCTCTGTGGTGGACTTGCATTCTCATTAGGCATAAAATTTGGGTCAGCTCATCACACATGATTGCTAGGAGGATGCTGGTATTACCTCACTGCTTCCTGCAGCAAAAAGCAGGGGGGTTTTCAGCCACAACTCACCGGAACTCAGTTCCGGCACCTCTCAAGTGGGTGCCATCACCATTATAAGAGAACAAGGGAGGCGTTCATGGTGAGTTCTGGCACCTCTTTTTCTAGAAATATAGCACTGGCAAACACAGAATGCATGCATGTAACACATAATAATAATAATAATAATACCCCAACAGAATATTAAAAACACGATAAAACATCAACCCTTGAAAACTTCACTAAAAAGGGTTGCCTTCAGATGCCTTCTAAAAGTCAGATACTTATTTATTTCCTTGACATCTGGTGGGAGGGTGTTCCACAGGGTGGGCGCCACTACCGAGAAGGCCCTCTGCCTGGTTCCCTGTAACCTTGCTTCTCACAGTGGGGGAACTGCCAGAAGGCCCTCGGAGCGGGACCTCAGTGTCCAGGCTGAAGGATGGGGGTGGAGATGCTCCTGCAGGTATACTGAAGGAGAACACATGTTTAAGCATCAATGTACACATATTAAAGGAAGCTGGTCACACTGGGTTTCCCAGATGTTGTGGCGATCACACACGGTCCCAGACATTTCACCGTCTATTGATCCCTGTGCCACCACTTTATTTCTCGCTGCCACCACCCAGGCCCTACCTGGTACAATACTGAGTCCAGTCAGGGTTAAATTGGAACATAAACTTCTTTTTATTTATTGCAGTTTAACAAGCGTGTGGTTTCATAAATGGTATCGGTCCATTACAAACATGGGTTGCTTATCCAGACCTATAACTCCCGCTACCTGCTCTCACTCATTAAACCACCTCTCAGATATTTACTTGTCTTCCTAGCTCCTAACTGTTCCTGACTCAACTTATTTCACTACACTAACTCAACCTCCCCACAGACTCTATCCCAATTCACTCCCACTCCAACCAACTCCCAATGAACTCCTTCCTTCTTCGCCCCTCTCAGAGCTGGTTTATAGTCCCTCTGACTTCACCCCCTGGGTTCTGATTGGGTAACCCGTTTAACTATTTCACCTCCAGCACTCCCATATGTTAACGTCACATATGTGTGTGAAACTATTGTTTAAAGATGCAGGTATATGATGCATGTGTGGTAATGCATGCTCCTTTGTGGTAATGCCAGACTTTCCAACAGAAATCATAATTGTGATGGTTTTCCAATCCACATTTTCCTATTCATCACTACTACCTACTCTCTCTCTCTCTCACACACACACAGAATATACTACATGTACAACAAAAGATTTGTTACTTTAAGTGGTAGAAACAAAGTCCTGTGAAATGGCATCATCCTCATTAGAGTTTTTGTTAACAATTAATATCTCTGGCAATCTTACACTTGTCTTCATTAGGACCCCTTTCAGGAATTATCTTGCTGGAGTAGCTTGCAGGCAGTCCTGACAAAAAGAATATTGTTAATCTAAGTTAGTTTCAATCATGAGGAAAACAAAGCAATGGTCTGAATCTGTCACATCATGACAATTTCAATCTGTAAGCTTCGCAATGCAATGATGCGGAAAAATTAGACCAAACAAGCTGCGAAGGCACTGGCTGTAAGCTTCAAAGGAAAGGTTAATGTAAGTTAAATATTGATGTGTCAGCAATAAGGATTATAACAATTACACATTCACACAAATGCCAGCTGGAGTTTAATCATCTTTTCTGACCCTGACATGTCTTCACAACTGAAGGTTCACATCTGAAGACATTTCCCTTAAGTCAGCAACCCACACATAGATGGAGGACACTCAGAAATATTTGTAACCGGATGGTGGAGAGTTCATCCCAAAGAGAAAATAAATTCAGAGCTTCTTTTGAGAGCCATGGGGTTCCACACCCCAAAATATAGCAATTTCTTAGGTTAGCACCCAATTTTCCTCTAGTGGGATGCCTCTGAAGAAGATGCCAACATTGGACAAGACTCCCATACTATGAAAGGAGTGAGGGCTGATCCAGAACAGGGGTAGACAACCTAAGGCCCGGGGGCTGGATGCGGCCCAATCGCCTTCTTAATCCAGCCCATGGACGGTCCAGGAATCAGCGTGTTTTTACATGAGAAGAACGTGTCCTTTTATTTAAAATGCATCTCTGGGTTATTTGTGAGGCCTGCCAGGTGTTTTTACATGAGTAGAATGTGTACTTTTATCTAAAATGCATCTCTGGATTATTTGTGGGGCATAAAAATTCATTCTTTTCCCCCCCTTCAAAATATACTCTGGCCCATCACATGGTCTGAGGGACGGTGGACCAGCCCATGGCTGAAAAAGGTTGCTGACCCCTGATCCAGAACAATGGCACTTGGCTCCCTGTCAGATGTAACTTCCACCCACAGTATTCCATCTCCCCTGGATTTATTAGCTTGCACCCAGTCCATTGCAAAGCCCAGCCACAAGTCTTAGCACTTCCACGACTTTGTCTGAATCTGATGAAGTGAAGACATTGACCTATGTGCCATCAGGGAACTGTGATCATACTACATCCCAAATCTCTGGATATCAGCAGCACAGTATAAGCGGACAGGAGAGAGCCCTGTGGCAACCTTTGGTTAATTGCCAATTGTCAAAGCAACGGACTCCCAACACCACCTTCTAGAACTGTGTGTGTGTCCAGGTTGGAACAAAAGCTCTGAAACACAGTGTCCCCTAATCCTCGTCTTGGATAGCTGATCTCCAACGTCCAAGTGAGAATATTAAAAGACCCCGAGGACAATACTTACAATACTGATACAATACTAATACAATCAAACTGTAAAAAGGGAAAGGAAGAGAATTAGTATTTTTTGCTCTATAGGACGCACCGGACCATAGGAGGGGGAGAACAGGAGAGAAAAAATTCTCCCCCTCTCTGCTCCTTCTCCTCTCGGAGCCCCTTCCAATTCTCCTCCCGCTTCACTGAAGGGGCGCTGCGCAGCTCTCCCTCTCTGCTGAAGCCAGGAGAGTCTTGCTCTCCCGGCTTCAGGAAAAGGAATCCGAAGCCTTCGGAGCGCAGCGCGAGTTACCGCTGTGCTCCAAAGGCTTTAGGCGGCTCTCCCTGAAGCCTGGAGAGTGAGAGGGGTCAGTGCGCACCAACCCCTCTCACTCTCCAGGCTTCAGCGAAAGCAACGCAAAGCCTCTGGAGCGCTGAGGGAGTGCTCCCTCTGCGCTTCGGAGGCTTCGCGTTGCTATCACTGAAGCCAAGGAGCCTGCATTCGCCCCATAGGACCCACACATATTTCCCCTCAATTTTTGGAGGGGAAAAAGTGCGTCCTATAGAGCGAAAAATACGATACATGCTGCTACCATCCAGGACCAAAAAATTACTCTTCTCAGGGATGGTAACTTCCTTCTTTTTGTATGTTCCATTTTAATTTTTATTCAGTTGTATTACTTTTTCTTTCTATTCATCTATTACTAACATGCTATTGAATTACATTTTTTATCAAATAAATAAATAAATAAATGATGACTATTAAAAAAATGCTAATGACTTTGAGAATTTAGTCCTCACATCTCCCTTCCCTTCCCTTTTTGTTATTCCTTTCTTGTCTAAAATCTGTTTAGATTCTTCATTTTATTCCTCTCATATCCACCCTAAAGATGATGCCCCGTCATGGACAAAAGACCTCTGATTCACTATCTTTGTTGTTGTTTAGTCGTTTAGTCGTGTCCGACTCTTCATGACCCCATGGACCAGAGCACGCCAGGCACTTCTGTCTTCCACAGCCTCCCACAGTTTGGTCAAACTCATGCTGGTAGCTTCAAGAACACTATCCCCACCATCTCGTCCTCTGTCGTCCCCGTCTCCTTGTGCCCTCCATCTTTCCCAACATCAGGGTCTTTTCCAGGGAGTCTTCTCTTCTCATGAGGTGGCCCAAGTTTTTGGAGTCTCAGCTTCAGGATCTGTCCTTCCAGTGAGCACTCAGGGCTGATTTCCTTCAGAATGGATAGGTTTGATCTTCTTGCAGTCCATGGGGCTCTCAAGAGTCTCCTCCAGCACCATAATTCAAAAGCATCAATTCTTTGGCGATCAGCCTTCTTTATGGTCCAGCTCTCACTGTGGGAGCTGGATTCACTATCTAAAAAGCATCAATGGAAATTATCTAGATTCTAGATTCTTTCCATTGACTCTTCTAGAACAAATGGTTTGAGGATAGCAGCTTTGATTACCAGTCTTTCTGATATGTTCTATTTGAAACTGGCAGATGTAATGTTTCCTTTCCCTTCCCTCTTTTTAAAAAAGCTATTTCCTTTGGATAAATCACAATCAGTTCCCTGGTCTCAGGTAGAAAATTAGTTCTTAAAAAATATTTGACCCCGAAGGCTGAAACGGTTGTATGAAAATTGCTTACTCTGCATTCTTCCCTCTCCTCCGCCTTTTGGGAGGGCAGGAGAATGGAAAGTCCCATATTTTCCAAAGACATTTAAACAATAATAATGCAGCAATTTTATAGACCTATAAACATTTCTTATGAGAATGTTTCTATGATGAGGGTTTTAAATTAATGAAAGTAATATTTCTTTTTTTAAGAAAAACCACACAAAAAACAACAACGCCCCAGCAGGAACTATAAATGCAAAAGAATCTGGATCTCTATTAAATACGTCTTTCATGCAAGCGTTCTAATACCAGACAGAAACGAATGACCTGATTTGGGCAGAAACAGCAAATCTGTTTTAATATGTAGAGCCTTTTACCTGAGATGGATCTCAAACCCTTGGTGAGTTAAGGACTTCCCTTGCTTGTGAAGAAAGGTTCTGGCAGTTTGAGCAGAGAAGCCCCATAGTGGGTCCAACAGTCAATAAGGTGGTTAACTGCATGTGCTGTAGAGGGAAGTGAGAGGCAGATGGGGCTCTTCAAACTGGGAAGGTGGTCCATCTAGAAGCAGGGAAAATCTGTTCCTAAACCCCTGCTTCCTCATGGCTATACTCATTAATGAGAAATGCTCTACCTGCCCCAGAAAAGAAGGAAAGCCTCCTAGGTAATGGGATTCTGGATTCCAGACCACAAGAAAAGGTCCTTGTGGCGATCACACAGGGCCCCCGGATGTTTGACGGTCTATTGACCATGTGCCACCACTGTGATTGCTTTCTTCGCTGCCCCCACCCCGCTTCTCATGGGGACACACGGAGTCCAGACAGCTGTTAACATTAAAAAATAGTCAAGTTTCTTTTTAAATGCAGGAACAAGTGTATGGTTTCAGTTTATTTTTCTCTTGTCAGTTTCTTCATTTTAGTTCCTAACAACTCCAAACTGATTATTCCAACTATCTATCTGACTCAACCTAACAATTCCTCTCACTCTCTCACAATACAACTCTACCAACCCACACCTAAACCTCCCTCTTCCTTCTCCAGCTCCCAAACCTCAACCCTCAATTCCCAACCCTCAACTGACTCTCAAACAGCTCCCACTCTAACTTTTACTCCCCCCTTGCATTCTCACTGGCCAATCACATCACACCCATTTTAACCCTTTCCTTATGACCCATCCTAGGAGACAAACGCCACAGTCCTTTTCACAAGTTACATTAAGAATACATTTTTTTTTGTAGGATTGTCACCCATTGAAAGATATTCCCATCAGTAAACCAGGTGAGTTTTAGTCAGTTCATTGGAAGTTGGTGGGCTGTCCTTCACTGGAGGTTTTTAAGCAGAATTTGGGTGGCCATCTGTCATGGATGCTTTGGCTGAGATTCCTGCATTGCAGGGGGTTGGGCTAGATGACCCTCGTGGTCCCTTCCAACTCTACAATTCTATGATTCTATATCGGCATACTGATTTGCGTGACTAATGCAATACTGCTTAATAAAAGAGCCAGCTTTACTAGAATTTTAGATGACTCACAAAGAAGGAGCATCTCACTTCTGTTTCTCCCTTGATTTCTAGGCACAGGTTTGAGAGGGGTTTTTTGTTCCACCACTTTCCTCTGGAAAAGCCAATGTTTACCACTGAGGGCTTCTTCACACTTAAATTTTGACCTGCGCTTTCCAGACACAGCTCCATGCTTTAAAGCTCTGTGTCCAAGCGCTTCTTCTTTTGCCAAGAAGCTTTCCCCACGAAAACCCACTCTTTAGTGCTTAATCGGAGCAAACAGCAATTTGGGTTTTCTGCAGATTGCTGTTTGTTCCCATTCAGCTTTAAATAGCAGGCTTGCCCCAGGACTGTGAAAGAGTCCCTAGCGTTCAATTCAGTGTAGCCACTGAACCCTGAGTTACAACATAGATTTGTACAATAATAAGTGATACTTGAAAAACATCTTAGAGAGGTCTTTTCTAATCAGAACAAAATGTTTAATCAGCCTCAGTTATGTGCTGCAACCAGCTCACCCATTTGATTTAATATAAGCGGATGGAAAAACCTATTATGAGTTAAATGGAGAGAGCTACATTTTAATTATTATTTTTCTCTCAGTTCAAGTGGGCAAATCTAATTTCTGTGGAGAAACAGTAAAGCACTTTCTATAGCTGGAGGGGAGCAGTTGTAAACAAATTGATGGCACATTTTTCAAGGACAAGAATGCTTGAAACTGTTTGACCGATTATATTGCTAATTCTCGAGTCTTCCAATAAGAAGCAACAACAACCTCATAAGTCTTATAAGAGGATCTAAGAAACCTAGCAAATGTGATGGTTATTCTGAACATGGCATCACTTGTGACTCATATGATAAAGAAGCAGAACTGCAGTTCACTTCTCTTTCTTGGCCACTGAAGCCCAGAGGAACCAAACTTCAAATGGAAAAAGTAGGTTGCTATTCAAATCCATTAAAAGGGGGAAATTTGTGGGATAACCAGCCTCATATAACCAAGATTCTTAAGTCTAATTAACACATGAAGGGGTTAATGCCATAAAGTAAGCTGTCCTGCCAGGCTTAGCTAGGTCACTCCCCCACAACCTTAGGAGGAAAGTAATCAATCCTTTGCTCCCCTTTCAGTCTACCTGAAAAGTTCAATGTGTAAAGAAGGCTGAGCTGGTTCCTCCAAGCTCAGGCCACATGGCTCTAACAAGCCTTTCTTGAGTTCCTGCTGTAACTAAGCCAAGTTTTACTGCCTCCATTTTCTGACTGATGTGTGGAAAAGCACATGAACCTGGCCTTTGAAGAGTTAGTAAATAGTTTTTAACCTACTAAATGTGTGGTCTTTTTATATGCTAGGGGAAGAGGGAAATTTTGGAAGGGTGTATTTTATAGGTCTAACAGCCTATATTTCCACACTTTACTTTGCTGAATATATCGTGATTCTGATTCTGCTCTGGGGTTCTCTCACCAAAGAGTACTTGCCCTAAACCTAAATCTTAGCATCTAGGTATTTTAATACCTATTTTTCTTATCTTTTGACAACCTTCACAACTGACAGCAGATTTTGGGGGTCTCTTTGAGTGATTGGGGTAGGGCAAACTCCCCTATAGCCTGATACATTATGGGGGACTACATCATAAACGAGGAAGGGCACCCTTGATGAGACCGTACTGAAAAGGGTGTTATAGAGAGCAGCTTGCTTACTCTTCCCATACCTGTTGTGATAAATCATCACAAACTGTGAGCAGGGTTTAGAGCTTCTCCTATTGTTGTGAGGTGGCCATAGGTGGTGTGTGTGAGTGAGTGTGTGTCTGTGTCTCTGTGTGTAATTTCCTTTCCAGTAAACATTTGAGGACCTCTCTGGCTGCCCATGCTTCCTGACCAGAAAAAGACCCATGGGAAGAGATACCAGGGATTTAGTTGAAGAGCGGGCATGCAGACGGGCTGCAGAGTGCGGACAAATTATTTGCAGAATGAAAGGAAGGGCATTTTGTGAGCACCCTATGGTCACCTCAAAGGTACAGTAAGTGCAACAAAAACCCTGCACCTGCCCACAAGAATTTCACCATTTTTTATCTCCCTTTTAATAATTGTTGTTGTTTAGTCGTTTAGTCATGTCCGACTCTTCATGACCCCATGGACCAGAGCACGCCAGGCACACCTGTCTTCCATTGCCTCCCGCAGTTTGGTCAGACTCATGTTTGTAGCTTCGAGAACACTGTCCAACCATCTCGTCCTCTGTCGTCCCCTTCTCCTTGTGCCTTCCATCTTTCCCAACATCAGGGTCTTTTCCAGGGAGTCTTCTCGTCTCATGAGGTGGCCAAAGTCTTGGAGCCTCAGCTTCAGGATCTGTCCTTCCAGTGAGCACTCAGGGCTGATTTCCTTCAGAATGGAGAGGTTTGATCTTCTTGCAGGCCATGGGACTCTCAAGAGTCTCCTCCAGCACCATAATTCAAAAGCATCAATTCTTCAGCGATCAGCCTTCTTTATGGTCCAGCTCTCACTTCCATACATCGCTACTGGGAAAACCATAGCTTTTACTATACGGACCTTTGTTGGCAAGGTGATGTCTCTGCTTTTTAAGAAGCTGTCTAGGTTTGTCATTGCTTTTCTCCCAAGGAGCAGTCGTCTTTTAATTTCGTGACTGCTGTCACCATCTGCAGTGATCATGGAGCCCAAGAAAGTAAAATCTCTCCCTTTAATAATACTGGAATGCAATTTCCTTTCTCATTAATTGAGAATGGGTTTTTTTAAATAAAAAATGATGGTGATGATGCAGGAGGCACTTTTAGCAGAGTACTGCCTTATCTCTTGAAGTCTCAATTTCAACACTGTGTAAAACAACAAAGACGAAATAGGATGAAGAGCATAATGGGATGAAGATGCATGTCTATATGATTAGGCTTCAATTAGGATGAAGATAAGGCTTAGGGGGACAATCCAAAGGTTTCACAGAAAATGTGGGTTATGGTCTTTTCACTGGCCCCAAATTACTTCATAAAGATCTGTTTGTTCTTTTGTTAGTAGCTGCCAGGAGGACAGTGGCCGTGGGCTGGAATATGTTTTCTGAATTTTCTATATGTAATTGGCATTGCCACATTTGGCAAAAAGCTTTGATAGAAAAGCTTAGCAATGCTGAGGGGTTGGCAAAAAGCCAGGCCAAGCCTATTGCATTCACAGATGTATGGTTCCCATTTCTCACATCTATTCACTCTTTATCTGTTAGACCAAAACCACCAGTTTTGCATGCAGATTTCTTGACAGGTTTGATAAACTAATGTGGTTATAGATTTGGTTTCATTTGCTGTTACCTCCTAAATATGTGGTGTTTGATGGAACAACTTACATTTGTTTTTGTCTTACTGCAACGTTTTTATTGTACCACTTGGATTGCACCAAATGGAAATCAATGAAATACTTCTTTAAAAAAAAAGTTACCACAAGAGAAATTGGACAAAACAACAAGAGAATTTGGGAGCAGCTATAGACTTGGCTGCGTACCATCTTAAGGGCGAGACTACATGTATCCCAAATACATGTATTTGGGAATGTATCCCAAAATGTTGCCCCCCATGTTGCATTCTTTCCCTCCCATAATCCCCTATCTTGACATGGTCACTCTGCACATTTCTCCACTCCTTCACCACATTACTTGTTCAATAATATGAGTACCCAAGGTAAGATCTACCACCTAGCCTGGGGATGCATTTTTCAATAATAGACCCATATTTCTCAGAATATGCAGTTCCTGAACCTAACGTATGGTGGGTTTAATTGATCATATTTACTATATAGGCCAGAAGGAAATTTTAAAGAGAGACCTATTCAAGCATATTGAATAGACCTATTTTGTCTAGTGGGAAACAATCAACTGGAAAATTCCCCTGTGGAAGTCCAATCAAAATACATGAAAGCTAAGCAAAAGTGAAAGGCTTTTGCAGGAGACCTCTGTGGTACAATGATTTTCAAACTGAGTTCTGTAATACCAGGGAGTAACATGGAAGCTTATCCAGCCTTCCTCGATGGGAAGATCAGCAATGGAAGGCTGGAGCCCCTGAAAGATAGATTGTCCACCGCTACTGATCATCTCCTGCAGTGTACAGGGCTAGCATGCATTTCAGGTGGAAAGATAAGAAGAGCTCTGTTGCACATCAGATCAAAGGTCCATCTAAGCCAGCTTCATGCTTTCAGCAATGACCAGCCTGACCATTTGGGAAGCTCACAGCAGAGGATGAAGGCAAGAGCCTTTCCCTCAAATACTTGCATTCTGAAAAAGTAGTTGAACTCATCTAAACTTCTGGCGACTGCCATATCTTGTGTCAGGCAATCTGTCAATTTCTTATACGTTGTGTAAAGAATTCTCTTTGTCTGTGTCCAAGGGGATTGTGCTTTAGGTTTTGTAGATGACACTTTGAATTTTTCCATTGTTGGGTCTTGTAAAGGGATTTAAGGGATTAAATGTATTTCTTAGCATTTACTACACAGGACAGAATCACGTCTCGCAAAAGGCATACCAAGCATGGAGAAGCTTCTGTATTCTCCAATAAAGGCTTCTTTTTATGAGGATGCACCGATTCTTTCATTTCTCTGGTGGGAATGAAACTGGTTGAGCAAAGTGTAGTTTACCCACAACACCTGCAAGCTGCACCTGTGTAGTTTTGTTGTTGTTTTTAAAGGCCATTAAGATCAACACACTCCTTTTTCATTTCTGTTTGTTAAGGGAAAGAAAAGGGAAAGAAAATGTCCTCCAGAGCCTGATGAATAAGGGATAAGGAAAGACTATTGCAGGGCAGCCAATAGGAAGGGATCCTAGGTGGGAGTTAATGTCACTAACAAAAAAGAATAATACTATACTTCTTCTGCTATGAAAATTTAGTAGCCATAGCTATGGTCCTCAAAGTTTCATTAACCATTAAATACTCTGCAGCACTAGGACCCAGCTCAGTTATATCCTCTGTTGCACCAATGGTGCCTAGATATAACAAGAGTGCCATTTCTGAAGGAAGAAAAAGATCATTCTGAAACATAGGTTCAAAATTATATGGCCCCAAAGTTAGTACCTCGAGGGAGGGGGAGTGTTTGCTTTTCTTTTTTATACAGTGGTACCTTAATTCGTTCTGGAGGTCCATTCTTAACCTGAAACTGTTCTTAACCTGAGGTACCACTTTAGCTAATGGGGCCTCCCGCTGCCGCTGCTCTGCTGCCGCGAGATTTCTGTTCTCATCCTGAAGCAAAGTTCTTAACCCGAGGTACTATTTCTGGGTTAGCGGAGTCTGTAACCTGAAGCGTGTGTAACCCGAGGTACCACTGTACTTCATAATAGGCAGGCAATGTTAACACAGCCAAGGAGCCCCACCTGTTTTTTTAAGCAAAGAGAATTTGTGCACTGGGCATGCCTAACTAGGACATAGATCCATTTATGAGTTACATCAATAGTCATTTACTGTGCAGAGCCAGCAGTATGACCACAGTTGCACCTGACCCTAAGAACTAATCACATCTGGTCTGAAAGACAATGGGATTATCTCCCCACCCATCTCCTCCTCTCACTAAATGGTTGCCAGCTCCTTAACCCAAAACACCTGGTGATATGGCCTCAAGTGGAGCTTTCTCAGTCAGAAAGTGGAACAAGTCTAGTGTTAGAAACAAGAGGTGGAAAACAGTGGCTGGATGCTCTTCTGGGCTGGAGGGGGGCAGCCCAGCAGTTTCGTGGAGGGCCAGTGGACAGTCTTGTTCTACCCAGATCTAGGATGAAGCCAAACCCAAAAGCTGTCACATTGCATATGATGAACAGATAAAAAAAGTGGTAGAGGGGGAAACAAATACAGGCTTAGAATCACATAATCCTCAAATTGCAGAGTTGGGGCCCCGAAGGTCCAACACCCTACAATTCAGGAATCTCCACTAAGGTGTCCATGACAGATGGCTCTCTAACCTTTATTTAAAAGCTTCAAGGGAGTCTGTTCCACTGTCGAACAGCTCTTACTGTCAGAAAGTTCTTCATGATGTTTAGTCAGAATCTCCTTTCTTGTAACATGACGCCATTGTTTTGAGTCGTACCCTCCAGAGCAGGAGACAACAAGCTTGCTCCATGTGACAGCCATTGAGATATTTGAAGATAGCTATCGTATCTCCTCTCAGTCTCCTCTTTTCCAGGCTAAACATACCCAACTCCCTCAACTGTTCTTCATTGTCAAGTAGCTATCAGGCAAGTACAGGTCATCCACAGGGCAGCAGGGACAACCTCTGACTTCTCTTTGTCTGGGTCTGCACTCACACCGAGACTCTCAGCTCCCAGCCCAGTCCTAGAAGGGTCTCCTTCTTCTCACCCCCATCACTCAACCCTCCTGCATCTAGCATCTCCCAGCTTGTCACTTCCACAGAATGATCCCCCATGTCCCACCATCACTGTCCTGGTTCTAAGTCATCAACTTTGATGTCAACCCTGGCTCTTGGGTGAGTGGTGCCCACCAGTCTTCCTCATCCAGCCAGTTCCTGACATTCATAAGGCACTTGGGTTTCCAGACCTTTGATCATCTTGGTTGCCCTCCTCTGCACAAGCCCCAGCTTATCAATATCCTTCTTAAATTGCAGTGCTTGCCGCTTGTTTGTTTGTTAACTCTTCCCAAAGCAAGGGGAAATGCTTTTCTCTGGTTGATTGGTAACCTTAACTGCCAGGAAAACCTTTCTGGGCTCAGAACTGCACTGGAAAAGCTGCTCGCAGTATAAATTTCCTTAAGGCACAAGGAGCTGCAGATGTTAGCTTTCAAAGCCCAATGACTGAACAAACTGGCTTCCTTCCTTTTGTTTTTCATAGATTATTTGGTAGTTTTAACTACTTTCCATAATTTTTTGTGCTTTTGGTAGCCTTGGGGAGGAACAAAACTTTCTGACACCTGGTGGCTTTTGAGATATCTCATCATGCACTGCTCACAACTATAAAGGCTAAAAACATTACTTGCAAACTTAAAGCTAGACTTCTCAGAAACTGAATACTACTCCGCAATGGCACACTTTATTATTTTCCCCTCACTGTACTTGCACACAAGTAGAGCATGTTGACAAAACTAGGGTTGTTGATGAATTTTTTTACGTTTGCATTTAGGTAAAAATTTGGGGGCTCTCTGGTGTCCTGAACTCCATCCTGGAACAATTCTTGGCCTGTCTTACTGTATATCTTTCATTGGCAAACCCAATGAAAAAGCATTAACATCTAATTCTAAGAGTAGGAGGAAGGGGGCATCATCATAATAGTAACAATTTATTATTTATACCCCACCCATCTGGCTGAGTTTCCCCAGCCAATCAAGTGTTAAAAACAATACAGCATTAAATATTAAAAACTTCCCTAAACAGGGCTGCCTTCAGATGTCTTTTAAAAATAGGATAGCTGCTTATTTCCTTGACATCTGATGGGAGGGCGTTCCACAGGGCGGGTTCCACTACCGAGAAGGCCCTCTGCCTGGTTCCCTGTAACTTGGCTTCTCATAGTGAGGGAACTGCCAGAAGGCCCTCGGCGCTGGATTTCAGTGTCCGGGTAGAACGATGGGGGTGGAGATGCTCCTTCAGGTATACTAGACCGAGGCTGTTTAGGGCTTTAAAGGTCAGCACCAACACTCTGAATTGTGCTCGGAAACAGACTGGGAGCCAATACAGATCTCTCAGGACCGGTGTTATGTGGTCCCGGCAGCCACTCCCAGTCACCAGTCTAGCTACCACATTCTGGATTAATTGCAGTTTCCGGGTCACCTTCAAAGGTAGCCCCATGTAAAGCACATTGCAGTAGTCCAAGGGGGAGATAACTAGAGCATGCACCACTCTGGCGAGACAGTCCGTGGGCAGGTAGGGTCTCAGGCTGCGTACCAGATGGAGCTGGTAAACAGCCGCCCTGGACTCAGAATTAACCTGCACCTCCATGGACAGCTGTGAGTCCAAAACGACTCCCAGGCTGTGCACCTGGTCCTTCAGGGGCACAATTACCCTATTCAGGACCAGGGAGTCCTCCACACCTGCCCTCCTCCTGTCCCCCAAAAACAGTACTTCTGTCTTGTCAGGATTCAACCTCAATCTGTTAGCCACCATTCATCCTCCAACTGCCTCCAGGCACTCACACAGGACCTTCACCGCCTTCACTGGTTCTGATTTAAAAGAGAGGTAGAGCTGGGTGTCATCTGCATACTGATGAACACCCAGCCAAAATAGACAAATAAGGCAAGTCGTGGATGAGGAAAGCAAATAGGGAAAATAATAATTAAAGCGGCTTCCAGATGAATTCATATGTTTTTCAGGGAGTATTTTGAGGTTCACCAAACGCCCGCATAATCCTGAAGCTCTGCCTTCCTTTGTAGCACATGCAGATGATAGCTAGGTTTTTCCATGAGCACATAGCCTTTTGAGCCAGTTATCGTGAAATTTGAACCACCTTCCCATCCCTGGGCTACAAGAAGGTGGGCTGCCACTACAAGATAAAGGACAAGTGGTTTTAATGTTACTAAGTAGTTGTTGCCTTTAAATATAGAGAGGAGGCAGAGTACGAGATCTGGCTGGATTACCGTAAGTTACCAATACTGTTGCTAATTTCCTCCCTAACTACAGTCTTAAAAGTATGGGCCAATGGGCACGTCCTCTATAGATGCCAATAAGTCCCTATGGCTCCACAGGACTTCTTCCCTGACTTTTGAATATGTGCCATTCACACAGGTGTGAGAAACCAACTATGAACAATTTTCATGAAGTTTTCTCTGGAGGCTGGAACTGAATAGAATGGTTTCATGGGCTCGAGTTTATTCCATTTCACCATATCAATTTCCTCTTCCAGGTCCTGTTCCCAGACTGACTTCAACTGATGAGGGATATAACTGAGAAAGGAGAGCTGTGTACATCTGTGAAACTAGTCTTTTGATGCATGATGCTGGCACTTCCCCATTTCTGCATGTGAGATGAGGCAAGGAAGACTAGGGCTTCACATGGGAGGGGAAAGTAGGGTTTTGAACATCCTTACACAAAGCCCTGCTGAAAATCCCACCCAACAAACAGCCAACATGGCTGAAGATGAATTGCTGTGAGTTCCCCCTTCTTTAACATGCATTTATATTTTAAAATAAGTTACTATTCTGAGTTTTCTGTGCTGCATCAGATTTATAGCATGATGTGACAAGCCCTCAGGATATGAACCTGAAGAGTATTAAAAATGAAAAATAAACTAATTTCCTTTAAACACTGAAGGCGAGCAGATATGTGTGCAAGAGGGAAATTGTTGTTATGCAAAGATCTTTAAACAAAACACCAACGAAATATAGTCATTAAACCGACACCCCTCAGCACTTACTCGTTGACATCTTCATGGTAGGCAGGCTTTATAAAATCTCTATGAAATACAGCAATAATGTAAATCAAAAAGGTGATATGTGATAGCACATGATCTGAAATAATTGTGCTGAGTATTAAAATGCATTCCCCGCCGACTCTTCATGCACCAATGCACAGTTTTCGAAGTTCAATGTATATCTTATCAAAGCAAAATTTGGTGCAGTATTTTAAGTATCACAGGTAGTCAGGAATAACGGGCAAAATTCCTGCATGCCAGATGAATAGGAAAATGAGGCACACATGAAAATTGTGATTTAATAAAAACTCATGATGCCCCTCTTGGGGACAGGAACCCAGGGGCTGAAGGTCTGCAGTAAGCTTTTCTGCTCATGTAGGCTTTTTCGCATGGTTTAGAACTCCGGCGTTCTGAATCATGCAGTCAGGCATAGGTCAGCAACAACAACAAAAACAATAAATCACCCAGGGCCAGTGAAGTTAAATCTTTATTCAAGAAAACAAATCACAACTCAGGCCTAGTAGTCTCAGCAACCCTTCCTAGGAGCTCTTGTCCTGATGACATAGTTGTGAGGACTGAAGGTCCCCACCTTCCCACCACTCTCTAAGGTATCCCACCTCTCCCCTGGTTTTTCCCCCACGCAGTGTCAAACTGTGCCTCTGCACAACTAATCTCTGTTCAGCACTTTTCATTTCTCTGTGCATTCTTGGAGACCAGGGGGAAAGGGAGCTGGTCACAGCAGGAGGGTGGGGCAGCTCCTTGGATTATTTAGCAGCCTCTTGACTCGCCCCCCCCCCATTTCCAGCCTCTGCTCCAGTTTCTGAGTTTCGACTGCCCTCTGCCACCAACTCTCCCTGCTCACTAAACCCTGTTGCCCCTCCAGCTTCCAACACCTCCTCCCTACAGTCTTCTCCCTCTAACCACTCATTGTCATCCCACCACCAATACCCTGGCTCTGAGCCTTCTTCCCCTGGGGGTTCCCCAGGGGATTCCCCAGCTAGTGCCCCCCCCACTCCTCTACATCCAGTCAGTCCATGACACACAGGGAGAGTACAGCAGGCTCCCCACTGTGGAGGTTCACCCTCTAATGTGCAGAGTACCCAGCGTTAGGATTCTTGCTCCGTGTCTGCAGTCATGGGATTGTTGTCTATCACATGACGGTGTATGTTTTCATTCCACATAGTGGGAAGTGACAGAGACAGGATGTTTTGTGTCACTGTGTTCCGGAATGTAGGACTATTGTCCTTTGTTTCTTTCTCTTTGCTGTCTGATGAGAAAAGGGACAGAGCTAAGTCAGAATGCTCCGAGTGTATTATATGTAAATAAAGTAGATTAGCCAAAATGCTGAGCTATTGAGTCTGTTACGTGAACCACCAATACTCTGCAGGATCCCTAAGCGTGCTAATGCCTTTTGGTATCAGTCGTTGTGATGTCTGGGCTGGAGAAAGCTTTTGAAGCTCCCAAACGATTAACCAGGAGGGAAAGAACATGCCAGTCGGACATGTGTCTCTGCCAGGGTCCTACACGCAAGTAGCACGATCCTAACGGTGGTTAGTGGTGATGGAGAGTGTGAGGCATAGGTGCCAATTCCCTGGGGCCTTGGGTGCCTGAGCACACACAAAATCCCCCAGGAAGGCATGGCACCCGTGGCCCCAGACACCCACAGTTTCAGGGCCAAGTTGGCACTCCTGGTGTGAGGTCAGCGTATGCCCCCTGCCCCTTGCCATCATATCTTGACAACTGCTTGAGGGAGGAAAAAACCTAAATAGTGTTTATAAGTTTATGCTCTTCAGTGCAGTGGTGACTTTAAAAATTCTAGGTTCAATAGCTGCTTCTTTCAACATACTTAAGAAAGGTGTGCAGTGAATGAAAGGCATACTCAGATGCATGTACATATGTGAGGTTAAAACGAGAGACGCATGAAACAAAAGATTTGTTTCAAAACAATATGTGAATTGCAGTCATCCACTCCTGTGCACTAGCACTGCTGCAGCAATCTCCCAGTTTTCAGAGAGCAGCTCAGCCAATAGCAGCCCAGGTCTGCTCTGCCTGCCTTGTTCCTCTGCGACATTAAGCCGGTTCATCCAACCATGGCTACAGCCTTCAACACCACCATCACAACCAGAGAGTCCCCAAGGACACTGCAATATCGATTGAAAAACACTTCGCACATAGAAAATAGATGCCAAAATGTTTGCTAGAACAATAACTGCACCAGGCAGCAAAATTCAAATGGTTTTTTACGGCTACGTTTTTCCATTTTCCATTTTTAAACCCCAGGTTTCCAAGCATTTCAGAACTCAGTTTTGTGTCTCTTTCCCACACACAACAATCTTTGTGGGGTCAGAGGGATTCCAGGAGATAGATAGATAGATGGATAGATAGATAGATAAATTAACTTAACGTAATGACAATTGCCACAGAGAGCTGAGCAAGGTTTTCCTCTATAAAGTCATGAGGTGGATTTGACTGGAACAGAAACACTCTACTAAAATAATAATACTCTCATAATCTGGGCCTCATTAACTTGTCAAGTCTAGTGACAGTCCTTAATAGCATCCGCTCATTTTACGTGTTGTAGTAAGTGACTTTCCGAGCTATTTGAATAACCTAAAATAAGAAGAGTCTCTAACAACTCTTAATGGAGGGTGTGTTCTCCTCCTCCTCCTCCTCCGCTCCTCCTCCTCCCCCTTTCAGCCTAAAAGAAAACCATGATGCACTTACATTGTTTGTTTTCTGGGCAATCTGCCATTGGCCTTTCAGATGGAAGAGCTTACATTTAATTTATTTCTCCTCTGCTCGATGTACTGCTTGCAGTTTCCAACACACTGATAGAAATTTATGGTAGCTGGTCCAAAGGCTGTTGCCAAATGCGAAAGGGGAGGATAAGGCAGTGATGGATACAAATTCCCTCTCGGTCGGCGTAGTGGCAATGTCGCCACCCTAACACACTAAGGTTAGATGCTGTGAGCTGCAAAGTCATCTCTTGTTGAGGTGTCAAGCGTTTACATGCTCATATCTTTCTGTGAGAGCAAATGCGTAAGGCAACTTCTAAGACCAGGGCTTGAAGGAAAGCACATAGCTCTGCGAGAATTACTACATCACCAAACAGTATTGCTGAGTCAATTGGAAATGAATTCATGTTCTTTCTTAGCTAGGGTGGCCAGTTATGCATTGCCAAACAGTAGGGCTTTGATTGTACACAAAACCAAAGAGAAAACACCAATTTGCAAATAAAAAGTGTATATGGTAATGTGCAGGCGTGCCAACGCAGGAGGCCGAGGTGTCTTCAGTCACTCAATGTTGAGGGGGCCTTGACACTGGGGCGTCCCTTTGACAATCGCCAGGGCACCTTCCAGGAAGGTGTGTTGGTAATCTCAAAGGAACGCACCAAAGTGCTTCGGCAGGCCACACAGACAGTGGCCTTGCCAAGGTGGCTTCAGCTCTTCAGCATCAAACAAAGGTAAAGTGGCAGGTGGTGGGTGAGTGGGGGATGGCAGGCCAAGTTAGCCTGGGCGGGTTGGGGGGTACTGCAGGCACCGCCCATGTGAAATCATGCACACACGGTGACCACCTCTACCCCCCAATGTTGAGTGCAACTCAGCACCTCTTTGTCAGAGACTGGGTAGATGAGGAAGAATGGTGGAGACCACCACTCCAGGCATTGCCTAGAGAGGAGGAAAGGCTAGATCAGGCATAGGCAACCTCAGCTCTCCAGATGTTTTGGGACTACAACTCCCATGATCCCTAGCTAACAGGACCAGTGGTCAGGGATGATGGGAACTGTAGTCCCAAAACAATCTGGAGGGCCGAGGTTTGCCTATGCCTGGTCTAGATAGCATAGGCCTCCAGGAATGGTTTGACACAGGGCATACCTCAGACAGAGATGAGGGCAAATGTTGTGAAATAATGGGAGAGGAGGAGGAGGAAGTGGAGAGCATTCAGCAGGCAGAGGCTGAGCAGCAATTGACGCCTTCGCTGGAGAGTATCCCAGAACCTGTACCCTGCCCCAAACCAGGCGTTTGCTGAGAATAGCAGAACAGAGAGTTCAGAGGCAACTGTCACATACCAGTCACCATCAGAGGCAGGAGGAGGAGTCTGATAAATAGAGAAGGAACGGAGAAATGGGGGTGGAACTTCACTTGGGGCAACGTTAGGCATTATGGTGTATCTTGAACTCGCCTCTGTAAATTGTATTAATAAACAGAACTGAAAAAAGCTTTGTGTTTCTCCATCTCACTGCCTTCCTGGGAGTCGGCCACAGCTGCTGACAGCTCCCTGACACTCTGGTAATGTATATTGCATACATTCAAATTTAGAAATAATCGGTATATTTAAATAGAAATACATACTTTAAAAGATAGAAACAAGGGCAAACGGTTAAAAGTGACTATAAGGGAGGGAGTATGAAGGAGCAGAGGGATGTGGGTGGCGCTGTGGTATAAACCACAGAGCCTAGGACTTGCTGATCAGAAGGTCAGCGGTTTGAATCCCTGCAATGGGGTGAGCTCCCGTTGCTCAGTTCCTGCTCCTGCCAACCTAGCAGTTCAAAAGCACGTCAAAGTGCAAGTGGATAAATAGGTACCGCTCCGGCAGGAAGGTAAACGGCGTTTCCGTGCGCTGCTCTGGTTCACCAGAAGAGGCTTAGTCATGCTGGCCACATGACCCGGAAGCTGTATGCTGGCTCCCTCGGCCAATAAAGCGAAATGAGCGCCGCAACCCCAGAGTCGGCCATGACTGGACCTAATGGTCAGGGGTCCCTTTACCCTTTACCTTTATGAAGGATCAGCAGCAGAGGGGCTATCGGGCAATTGCCCTAAAACAACATACTTTTGTGTCCATATTTTTACCTCTTTAAATATGGCAACTCTACTTTAAAGCTGTCTTGGACTGGACAGCCCTTCAAAGAAACATGGCCACCCTAACCTTAGATGATATTGTGCTTTAGGTCTCAAGTCACTGAAGAATTCAAGAACCACAAGATTCGACTCTTTTGTTCCATATTGCTGGTCTTTTCATCCTTAATGACTTTGATATGCTCTGTTCTGTTATCAGGAAGAGCAAAGCATGAAGTTGCGTTATATGCGCTCAACATTTAACCATTGTGTTGTGTTGACTGTATCTACCAGCCAGATACTGTACCTAGGCAGAGGTTTGTATAGCAGTGCTGGGCGCAGGCTTAAAACAGTCAATTTAAATTTATTATTATCTTTGATCTTGAGACCTATTATATGTTCTCAACTAATGAAGTGGGCAATATACAGAAACAAGCAACTTAACTGTGCTTTCTTGTAACAAACATCTGGAATAGAAAGAGTTCAAGGAGAATATAAGTTGCTGGTTTCTCAGCTGAGCTGATGGAGATGAACTGCAGTCCATTTTCTCCCACTGCCACACCCTGACAGAATGACAAAATAAATAAGTACCTGTCAGTTCTTGAGCATCTCCAACTGGAGAATCATTTTTTCCCTACAGAATGCAGTTAACTTTTAAGTGCATTATCTAAACAGATATCTTGGATATCTGTATGTTTATATGTACATGGGCGTAGCCAATATTTTTGTTGGGGGGCAGGACTTTGTTGGGGGGCAGAACCAATGTGAATGGTCAGTTAGTTAAATATTTCTATTGTTTTACTTGATCTCGGAGGGGGGAGCTGCCTTCCCTGCCCCCCCCCCAGCTACGCCCATGTATATGTATGTATGTATCTATATTTCAACTTATTTCTCTAATGGTGAGCAAAACATACAGGAGGGCTTCTGCATTTTACTGAAGTCTTGATTTATATTTTACATTGCAGAAATTTTCTGTTGTCCTGGGGGCCTTCTGGGTATTGACAGTAGTAATCATAAGTGAAGAAAACAAGAATTCCTTTTTTCAGAATATGAATATTGATTAGAGAAAGACTATGTCCTGAGGTGTCTTAGAAAGCTTCAGTAACCACATATCAAATCAGCCCCACCCACTCCCCCCAAAATCATAATTAGTAATTTTAAAAGAATACAGTGAAGATTTATGAATGGAACTATACGCTTGACAAAACCAATTTCTCCTGCTTTTGTAAGATAGCTAGGATTTTCAAACTGGGTCTGGGCATTCTGCCATGCCCAGAGGCTTTTCAGATTTTGTTAACAGGCTTGCAAATTAAACAAAAACCTTCACACCCTCGCACACCGAAGTCTAGCAAAGGTGGAAGCCTTGTACAAAATTCCTTCTAATCACAGCCCCAGAAAATTCTTTGCCTCCTTAAAATATTTAGGAACTGCTACAAGAGTCAGTTGTGACTTTTCCTGTGTACTGTTAAGACTGCTCAACTTCCCTTTGGCAGCCGACGTTTGTTTGTTCAGCTCGCACTGACATTTTGTGAAAAGGCACTCATACCTTGTTGTCCTGAGAGTTGGGCCTCCCTGGGTTTTGCTCTCCTTTGATCATCACTCAGACATGTCCACTCCACCCACATTCTTCCGTAAGTGTGTGTGTGTGTGTCACAAAAACCTGATGGCATTTAAGCTGACATAGCAGCCCAACCGACAAGCAAATAAAGCCCTACAGCCCAGTTGTACTCACAGCCAGTCTCATCTTTGACAACCTAACCTTGTCCTGCTAATTGTAACTGGCATGCCAACTGGAATTGAAAAAGCAAAAGAAGAGAGAGAAGACGGGGTAAATACAGGAGAGCAAGAGAGGGAAGGAATGTTGATGACCTGCCTTGGCACCTATGTTTACTTCGGGCAGGGAGGAATGTGTAAAGAATATTCTGTGCTGTCAGGGTGGACGACATAAATATCACATTGCCAACCAGTTGTATGCCTATAGAAAACAAATGGGAAAACGATCAATAATATGGATTCCTCCATTTCCAGACAGTATGCTTGAAAAAATAATAACTTTTAACAAAAGTCTTCTAGGAGAACAAAAAATGACGCGACCATTTGTTAGTGCTAAACGGCTGAGTAGAAGGCCAAGAAACGGAGTGGTCCTAAGTGGGGGGTCCATGGCAGAGACTAGGGCCCTGCAGGACTTGATCTCCTTCCGCAGGGCCTGTAAGACAGAGCTATTCCGCCTGGCCTTCAATTTGAATTAGCCTGATCCTCTATTCCCTTTCCCCCTTTCTTCTTCTATGAAGAAACCCTTTCTGGGACCCTACATTTAAATTCTTCCCTGGTCTCCTTGCTGGCCCTAGTAGGACCAACTTGGCCAGTTAGCCCTGGTGATCATTTGATGTCTACTGACTGGTTTTTGTTTTGTTTTCTCCCCAAAATGACCCCTGAATTTTTGAATTTTATTGATAGTGATGCTGCATTTTATGTTGTACTTTATGCTGTTTTTAAGTCGCATTTTAACCAATGTTTTATATTTGCTGTTAGCCGCCCTGAGCCCGGTTTTTAAACTGGGAAGGGTGGGGCATAAATAAAATTTATTATTATTGTTGTTGTTGTTGTTATCATCACTGTTACCCTGCCAGAGGTGGGGGCAACTTCTCCTCCTCCTTCTCCTCCTCCTCCTCCTCCTTCTTCTTAATTGAATTTATATTCCGCCCTATACCCAGGGGTCTCAACGCAGTTCACAGAATAAAATCAAGACATAAAACCACAAAATACTTAATAAAAATAAAAGCAGCAACTCAATACTTAAAAGGGTTAGGGTTTTTATTGTTTGTTCATGGTGGATCTTTACTGTTTCTTTTTCTTTCTCTCTCTCACTCACACACACTGTCACACACAGTGGTGGAGTGTTCCCCGCTGACGCCTGGGGCAGGCTATACATATCAGGGAACATGTGGTATGCCATGGGGGCAGGGCATGCTGTGGGGGCGTGCCATGCCGCCAGAGCAACCCCTGCCCACTGGCCAGCTAGGTTTGAGGGATGCATTCACTGCGGCCTGCAAACCCTGCGAGACTCGCAAAAATGGCGCCGTGAGCTGGTATGTCCTTCTCAGGCGCCCACCATAAGTGATTAGAAATCATTTTGAAGCATAAGATTTTTAATAAACAAGATTTAAAAATATAAACCACTATAGTAAGGGTAAAGGTAAAGGACCCCTGACAGTTAAATCCAGCGTGAACGACTCTCTGTGGTTGCGGTGCTCATCTCGCTTTACTGGCCAAGGGAACCGACGTTTGTCCGCAGACAGTTTTTCTGGGTTGTGTGGCCAGCATGACTAAGCTGCTTCTGGCGAAACCAGAAGAGCAGCGCACGGAAACGCCATTTACCTTCCCGCCACAGAGGTACCTATTTATCTACTTGCATTGGCATGCTTATGAACTGCTAGGTTGGCAGGAGCTGGGACCGAGCAATGGGAGCTCACCCCATCATGGGGATTCAAACCGCCAACCTTCTGATTGGCAAACTCTAGGCTCAGTGATTAGACCACAGCGCCACCCGTGTCCCTAGTGAACCACTATAGTAGCGCAAATAAAATTTATTCAATTATGATACAAAACAATTAGAGAAACAAATTCCTATCAGGTCTAAGAAGTCCACAGTGCTGCTTGCTGTTGGGTTGTTGTTATGCTTTTCATCATCATCATCATAACCTTGTTTTAAGAAATGACTCTTGACACTGAAAACTATTTGTAAGTTATATAAGAAGCCTACTGTATGCACATGAAAAGGTGTGAAAGACGACTCAAGAGTCCTTCTTTTCCGTAAAGTAGAACCTTCTTTTTACTCCCATTTTGCCTGGATGGTTTAATTCCCACTGAGGGATTTTAAGTGGGAGGAGCTATTAAAGGAAAATTTAGTCAGTCTATAAGCACCTATTAAATACTTGAGAGTACCTGATATTCCATCATATCATGTCAATCTATCTAATAGAGCTATTAGAATGTTGAGACAGGCAAGAAGCACATTAGGATTGAGGTTTTACCTTAATGCGTACCAATTTCATTTTGACACTAAATAAATAAATAAATCACCCTTTTAGATGGGGGGGAGGAGTTTACTAACAGCGTGGAAGGGCACCCGACATTAAAAGGGGAAAAGAATGTGATACTAAAAACACAATAACCCAAACTGCTTCATTTTACTTCATTTATCAACTGCATAGAATAAACCTCGTTTTAAAAGTCTTCAGTTTCAACCAAGAACATTTCTCCCTGAAAATCGAAAACAACTTTCCCCACATGACTTTGATTAACACAGAAATTACACAAGTTCCTCTAAAACAAAACAAAAAATCAGAAGGACCCAGGTAAAATTTTGAAGCCATTTCTTTTACCTTTCCCCCAATCCCCAAAGTTGAGTAATAGGAATGGAGTTGTTCTCTTCCCATCCTGCTGTCCATAAAGTAGAAATTTCTCTGAAAAGAGCTTTCAGATAATACTTATTACAATACTAATAATTGTATTCTCCTGAATTGTTGGAGAATATTCGGTGAAATGACCTCCCAGGGTTCATCATCCCTTAATTTTGTTTTTTTAAAAAATAATTTTTTATTAACCGACCAATCAAATCAAATCAAATCACATCACATAATTCCAAATTAGAGAGCTGAATTTTAAATTTTTTGTTGGGGGTACCCATATTTCAAGTTCCGAAGGGGATTCCAATCATCTTCTTGCTGCTGCGTTAATATCCACAAATCTGTCCAGATAATGTTCATATTTCTATCCAGTCCTATCTTGCTGTTTCCACGTCTCATCTTATTCATATATTTTTCTTTTTTCTTTGTGATCTCTTCTGATAATCTCCTTAAGCAGATAAACACCAGTTATAACCCTGTGTGAATTTTTGCGTTTGTCCAATCACCATATCGAGATGGTTCCATATATCATCACTTCCATAAATAAAAGCAGTCTTTCCATCATTCATCTTCGTAAATCTGTCGCCTTCTTTTAGTCCTCTGAGGAGGCCGCCCGCAATATGAAAACAGATCCATTCCTCCTTCCAGACATAAGTCTTTTGACAGAACTTACCAAAATGGTGACGCTGTTTTTTTTACTGCGTCATCCCAAAGCTCTTAAACTTTCCACGATCTCCTTAAAACATGCTTTTGGTTAGAGGTTTTCTCCACACAGTCTTAAATCATCAGCTTAGGTCATTTAAGCAGCATTTCTGACTTGTGGGGGGGGGGATTCTTGGTTAATCACATAAAGAAAAGAAAGGAAAGTCCCCCCCCCAATCCAGTCCCGTTGCCACATACCGAGCCTTGGTGTGTCTTCTCATGATATATTCTTGATTATCCGACCCGTCTTCTTTCTCAGAGATCTCTTCAATCAGCAGTCTTTACTCCCCCTTCTTCCTTGAAATATGTGCATTAGCTTCCACCTAATTGTTTCTTTTGAAGTTGCTGCAGCTAGAGGCGCGAATCAGAGACAACGTCCAGGAGAGCCGAAGTCCGCACAAGGGCTTTCTGCCTAGTGCCCCCACCCCCTCAAATTCGGGGGTGAATTATGGACACAGCAGGCAAGGGCAGTCCCCCCCACTCCCTTGGGGGGGCAGGGAGGCTGTTTACTCCCATCACAGCCTCTTAATTACCTCGTTTGGGTCAGAGAGATGTTATTGTCAGCCATCTTCCAATGCGCCCCTAGTGCCCCCCCTTCATCCCTTAATTTTGGAAGCAGCTGTGATTTTCAGCTTCTATACTGCTTACTATTATTTCAATAGAATCAAGCGAGGGAAGAACTTTGGGCCTTACTCCATCCAGTCTTCTTCTCTTAGCCCATTGCTTCCTTCATAATCCCCCAATATGGAAGGAAGCCCCTTTCTGTGCTCAATAAGCATGGGATGCTTTTGCCCAGAGGCACTGTGGCTTATGGATTGCAGCAAAATACTGGGCAAGGTGCGATGGGTCCAAGGGGAAAAGCTGTCTCATGAGCCCTTGCTGCAGAGGGGAAGGGAAACCCTATATTTTTATTTGAGAGCTTCCTGCCTGCCCATGCCCGGGTTAGAGCCTTCACTGAGCAATTTTGGGTCACTGGTTGACAGAGCAAGAAAGGATTCTTTCTCTCTCAACCTGACTGGCATTTGGGTTTTTCCCCTCTCCTTTCCCTCAGTGAAATTATGGCCTTCCTTTGCTAGGCGGGAGAACATTGTATGAGAGCGGAAATGGCATTGGTCAGGATCAACATGGTCTAGGAGGGCCCATAAGGGGCTTGAGGGGAGGATTGGCCATGGCAAACCCAAGTTTGGGTTTGGTATCTGCTTGGTTGGAATCTGCACCCTGGTCCCCCAGTGAGACTTTGCTTGTTTGGCTTGAACCACAGAAAGGATCAGCACTTATCGACTCCCAGGTTTGGAGCTGTCCAAACCCAGTGGATCCATTCCATCAACATGAGGCTTGTGGAATGGCGAACAGATCCTGGGACCCAATTGGCCCTGCCTGCTGCTGCTGTCAATAAAGATTTGGCCTGATTTTAACCCGTCACCATTGTACAGTCTGGTTACATTGCTGTTCTCATGGGTCACAAAACGCGCCTGCTTGGGCAAAGAGTGTCAATTAATATTTTGTTATTGTTGTTGTCATTTAGTCATGTCCGACTCTTCGTGACCCCATGGACCAGAGCACGCCAGGCACTCCTGTCTTCCACTGCCTCCCGCAGTTTGGTCAAACTCATGCTGGTAGCTTCAAGAACACTGTCCAACCATCTCGTCCTCTGTCGTCCCCTTCTCCTTGTGCCCTCCATCTTTCCCAACATCACAGTTGTTTCCAGGGAGTCTTCTCTTCTCATGAGGTGGCCAAAGTATTGGAGCCTCAGCTTCAGGATCTGTCCTTCCAGTGAGCACTCAGGGCTGATTTCCTTAAGAATGGATAGGTTTGATCTTCTTGCAGTCCATGGGACTCTCAAGAGACTCCTCCAGCACCAGAATTCAAAAGCATCAGTTCTTCAGTGATCAGCCTTCTTTATGGTCCAGCTCTCACTTCCATACATCACTCCTGGGAAAACCATAGCTTTGACTATACAGGCCATTGTTGGCAAGGTGATGTCTCTGCTTTTTAAGATGCTATCTAGGTTTGTCATGAGTTATTCAAGCCCCTTCGCCATGGCAAGGCAGTGATCCATGAAGGGGCAGTGAATATTTAAGTGAACTGAAATGTCCAAGAATAGAATTTACTGAGAAAAACTACTGGCAAATTTCAACTCCCCTGAAAAAACCCTTAAAAGTGTTTTTGACTCACTATGCACATTGCATACAGAATAAAATGGCAGAATGAGATGGTCAAACACTGGGCTCTGCTACTTCAGGATACAGATGGAGAGGGATCATATTATACAAAAGTGATCCTTGAATATTATAAACTAGAGCAACAGAGAGAGGGCTACGCTCTTTCCTTCCCCTCTCTTATTCCTAGTTCGCTACATGCAGTGAATTTTATACATAGGGAGCTTTCAAAAATGTATCTCCCTGTCTGGCACAGTGCAGTACAGAATTCTACCGCATTCATTTACCACAAATCTGTAGAATCAGGTTTTAGAAAATACTACGCATTCGAAATTCTGTGAGTAGCCAATGTCTTTGAAGAGCTCAGTAGAGGGAAATTCCAGGCTGCCGAAAGATGCCTTACTTTAATCGTTCAGGGAATTCTAGTTATAAAAAGTTTTATAAGCACCACAAACCCAATAACACTGCGAGCCATGCTTATAATACTTGCAAAACACAACACAGTGTCAAAAGGTTGAGGCACAACTTTTACAGAGAAGTGGAACCATATGAGCAAGCGATACAGCTGCCAACCTGGACCAGCCACAAGACTCTTCAAACTATTCCCCTCCATTGTTCTTGCCACCTCATTTTCATCGCTGAGCTTAATACATTTCAAATGTTATCCATTGGAGGGGGGATGCTGTCCTCATATCCGAATACTGCTACATTCAACGAGAGCTGCCTAAAGTGAAATTTTGAGGCAAATATGGAGATACCTGCTCAGAAATTTGAGGAAGGCAAGAGAAGTTTGAACAATACTGGCAAAAGTTCAGGGAAGGGGGAACCACAGAAAATCCATTCTCTGCATACTTTGCTGCCTTTTTACACTGTACTATGCCCACGAAATTAAAAGACGCCTGCTTCTTGGGAGAAAAGCAATGACAAACCTAGACAGCATCTTAAAAAGCAGAGACATCCCCTTGCCAACAAAGGCCCGTATAGTTAAAGCTATGGTTTTCCCAGTAGTGATGTATGGAAGTGAGAGCTGGACCATAAAGAAGGCTTATCGCCAAAGAATTGATGCTTTTGAATTATGGTGCTGGAGGAGACTCTTGAGAGTCCCATGGACTGCAAGAAGATCAAACCTCTCCATTCTTAAGGAAATCAGCCCTGAGCGCTCACTGGAAGGACAGGTCGTGAAGCTGAGGCTCCAATACTTTGACCACCTCATGAGAAGAGAAGACTCCCTGGAAAAGACCCTGATGTTGGGAAAGATGGAGGGCACAAGGAGAAGGGGACGACAGAGGACAAGATGGTTGGACAGTGTTCTCGAAGCTACCAGCATGAGTTTGACCAAACTGCGGGAGGCAGTGGAGGACAGAAGTGCCTGGCATGCTCTGGTCCATGGGGTCATGAAGAGTCGGACATGACTAAATGACTAAACAAACAACATGGTCAGTGTTCAAAACTCCCATTGTTTTAGGCGCATTTTGCGACAGTGAATTTCATTAGCGCGAGCGGTTTCTGAGCTCTTGGCGCAGTACTGTACCTAAGATTTCAGATTAAAACTACTGAGTGGAAGGAAAGGAGGACCTTTTTCTGCCTCCCCACTTCCAGCTGCTCTCTGAAGACTGGAGAAGAGACCCCCATAAGAATATTAGGGGGGTGGTCAGGGGAAGGACTAGACCATGTGAAAAATGAACATAATATATTAGCTGCAGTTCATTCATGTTCAGCTTTGTATTCTTGTTATAAAAAAGTGCACTTAGATCTCAGTTTCTAACACAGACCATGCCCATATCCAGGATGAGCATCTAGAGAAATGGGATGGGAGTTTTTAACCAAACTGTTTCTGCCCACCCTCCTGGGTGATTGACCTTTAAATTGTACCAGACAATTAATTAATCCATGTGAGGAAGTTGCTCTAGGAAACCATCTCTGTCTGCCACAGAATCTTGCTTCCTGTTTGCATACTCTGTCCAATGCAATGATAAGGACAATCAATATGCAAAATATGTGTGATCTTGTCTGTGTTTCTCCTCCTCCTTAATGATATATCCTTGAAAGCAGATATTTAGTGAAATACTATTTTTGTAGACTTTTGCATACCATTTATTTGGATATTGAAAAATGTTGGGGTCTGTGGGATTATATTACTTTTATACAAGGCATTTTTCTGCTTTTCTTGTTTCGCCTCTTAGAAGCTTCCTAGGATCTTTAGCTCGCTCAGTAGAGCTTGTGACTCTTAATCTCAGGATTGTGGGTTGAAACCCCACCTTGGGCATTTCAGGGGGTTGGGCTAAATTACCTTTTTTGGTCCTTTCCAACTCTACATTTTTGTGATTTCATGCCTTCCGTCCAGACACGCAGTTTGGAGTTTCAGAACTAAGTTTCAGAACCTTTGAGTGGCTCTTAAAAGTTTGTTGATTTGTCTTTCAAAAACAAATCAGCAAAATGTTTCAGATGAAATGCTAAGAATATCTTAATCCCAGGATGCGCACAATGATGTATGGCACAAACTGCTGAAGGGTTTGGTCCATAGCTCACAAACAATAGTTTTGCTTTCTTCTTTGACAAATCTCTAATCCAGCCAAAGTGAATAGCAGCAGTCAGCAGCACATATTTATAGCATTACAAAGCATCTAACAACTTCCCAGGGTATTTGGAGCTTCAGTCCAAAAGGAATCTGAAAGTTGGTATGAAGTATTTGTCTTTAGAGGTACATCAAGATGAAAATCGTGCCGCACCAGCACGTTGTCCTGATGAACCAGGCTTTGTAGTTAGGCATCAGCAGTGATGTGATGCATGAAGACTTTTCCATATGCTGTTGATAATGATTGTCATGTGTTTTGACGATGGATGTTCACTCTAGTGTCATAGAATGGGCTCTTGAGAACAACAGGTTTTCATCAACATTTGAAACACTGAATTATGATGACATAATATAGAATTTTAAGTGGGCTTTGTGGTGACAAAGCGTGAGAGCCATGGACAGAAAAGTCACCTCTACTCAGGCATGTTGGTAGTACAGTGGCTACATGTATAGACCAAGATGTCCCCAGCTCACATTTTCCCTAAGGGTTTCACGAACCTTCCAAGGTGTCACGAAACCTCCGTTTTCATGAATCTGTACAGTTTTAAAAGTGGAGGAACTAATAAGACCTGACACCATCCTAAGTCCTCTTCATTCTTCCTCCCACATTGAAAAACAGCATGTAATTAGCTAGGCAGTTTACTGTTGCATTTCAGGCCTTGCTATTCAAAGCCACAATGCCCAGAACTCAACCCGCAGAGGAAAACAAGATTATAACTTCTGTTCAGACAAGTGACATTTTACTACCAAGCTCTTGTGTATTACATTTCACAAACTCAAATTAAAGTCTATTCTATATCATAGGAGGCATCTCAAGACAGAAATCCATTTCTTTTGTGGGAAAAGATTTGGAAAGCTTCAAGAAAATGGTACTTTATGCCCAAGAAATATAGATATTGTTTCCTAAACTGGAATTTTGATGGTATTGCTCTTATTGTATAGCATGCTTTTTACAACTGTGAGCAGGTTCAGGAGCACAGTGGGACACACATTTAAATCAAGTAAATAAACAAACACTGCCATAAAATTGTATCCCATGTAAGGAGGGCTGGGCCAGAAATGTAAAGTTTCGTTCTTGGTAAAGGGAGTGGCTAATGAAATAAATGTGTGCTTGTGGCTTCTAACATGTTCAGCTTTTGCCTCAACAATTTTCTTTGGGGTTTGTTTGTTTTTTACATAGCCATGTCTGAATCCATCTACAATTCCAAGCCCCTCAAATAAGGTGGTGTTGAGCAATACTGACTGCCCCCCCCCCCAATTTGCTGAAAGTTACATAACCCATAGCATGGATAGGCAAACTAAGGCCCAGGGGCTGGATCCGACCCAATCACCTTCCAAATCTGGCCCGTGGACTCAGGAATCAGCGTGCTTTTACATTAGTAGAATGTGTCCTTTTATTTATAATGCATCTCTGGGTTATTTGTGGGGCCTGCCTGGTGTTTTTACATGAGTAGAATGTGTCCTTTTATTTAAAATGCATCTCTGGGTTATTTGTGGTGTTTTTTACATCAGTAGAATGTGTGCTTTTATTTAAAACGCATCTCTGGGTTATTTGTGGGGCATAGGAATTCGTTCATTTCCCCCCCTCCAAAATATAGTCTGGCCCCCCACAAGGTCTGAAGGACAGTGATCTGGCCCCCTGCTGAAAAAGTTTGCTGACCCCTGATCCAGAGAGAATGTGAAAGGACATACCAGGACTTGTTGACCCGTCGGCATTATGAGTACAACAGAATTAAAGTATTATCATTGTTGTCAAAGTACAGTCCCATTCGGAGTCCTATTCAGCTGAGATACAGGATGGAGACAAGACCAAAATCTAAAAGGCAATGGCAACGGAACTATCCAGCAGTTGCCAAGAACAATTAAAAAGGTAAAGGGACCCCTGACTGTTAGGTACAGTTGCGGACGACTCTGGGATTGCGGCGCTCATCTCGCTTTACTGGCCGAGGGAGCCAGCATTTGTCTGCAGACAGCTTCCGGGTCATGTGGCCAGCATGACTAAGCCACTTCTGGTGAACCAGAGCAGCGCACGGAAACACCGTTTACCTTCCCACCGGAGTGGTACCTATTTATCTACTTGCACTTTGACGTGCTTTCAAACTGCTAAGTGGGCAGGAGCAGGGACCGAGCAACAGGAGCTCACCCTGTCACGGGGATTCGAACCGCCAACCTTCTGATCAGCAAGCCCTAGGCTCAGTGGTTTAACCCACAGTGCCACCTGCTTCCCAAGAACAATTAAGGAGCCTCCATTGTGGGCAAAAATGTATCTGACCCCCCAGCCCATAAATAAACTCCATGTTCTTAGCATCCCAAGAAGACTGATAAGAGATATCAGAAAGAATGGTAAGAGATTTGCTTTTAAAAGAAATCCAGAAAGAGAACCATCTCAGCACTTTAAATATTTAGATGTGTGCTCTAATCTTGTTGCTAAATCAACATGTTAAGTATGATGTGTCACTGGGCATGTGAGAGGGAGGCTGATAACTTTAAAGGGGATCACTGGCGAGAGCCAGTGTGGTGTAGTGGTTAAGAGCGGTAGTCTCGTAATCTGGGGAACCGGGTTCGCGTCTCCGCTCCTCCACATGCAGCTGCTGGGTGACCTTGGGCTAGTCACACTTCTCTGAAGTCTCTCCCCACTCACCTCACAGAGTGTTTGTTGTGGGGGAGGAAGGGAAAGGAGAATGTTAGCTGCTTTGAGACTCCTTAAAGGGAGTGAAAGGCGGGATATCAAATCCAAACGCTGCTGCTGCTGCTGCTGCTTCTTCTTCTTCTTCTTCTTCTTCTCCTTCTTCTTCTTCTTCTTCTTCTTCTTCTCCTTCTTCTTCTTCTTCTTCTTCTTCTTCATCAAGTCCCCTCTTTCTCTAACCTTTGTGAGTATCAGGTGAAGAAATCAGAGAGGCATTATAGACCCCGATTTCATTGGATGGGGTAGAAAAGTTTCTTTTCCTCGAAGCATGATTATAATCCCTTTGGCTCTTAAAAGGCAGAGAGATTAAACCATTTGGGAAAATGCATCTGTCATCCCCATGATACTATATAAACATAGTGTGACTTGCTATATAGGTCAATGGGCCAGTTACACAGGTTCAGAGTGAAGATTTAAAAAATGAATAAAAGCTTGGCACATGGGCTTATGTGGTTTATTTGGTTCAAGTGGTTATAAACAAATACTTATGCACATATACCAGCATGCAGGTGGGACACAAGTGGCGCTGGGGTCTAAACCACAGAGCCTAGTCTCTGCTTCTCTGTTTGTATTGTATTATTTTATGTACTGTGGCTTTCCGTTGTTTTATTGATTATAGTTTAGAAATTATTTATTGTAACTGTTGAGTGGGTTTCTGTTTAACTTTTATATGTTATTATTATTTAATACTATCCTAGTGATTGTTGAGGGACATGGGTGGTGCTGTGGGTTAAACCACAGAGCCTAGGGCTTGCCGATCAGAAGCTCAGCGGTTCAAATCCCCGGGACAGGGTGAGCTCCCGTTGCTCGGTCCCTGCTCCTGCCAACCTAGCAGTTCAAAAGCACATCAAAGTGCAAGTAGATAAATAGGTACTGCTCTGGCGGGAAGGTAAGCGGCATTTCCGTGTGCTGCTCTGGTTGGCCAGAAGCGGCTTAGTCATGCTGGCCACATGACCCAGAAGCTGTACGCCAGCTCCCTTGGCCAGTAAAGCGAGATGAGCGTTGCAACCCCAGAGTCATCCGCGACTGGACCTAACAGTCAGGGGTCCCTTTACCTTTTTACCAGCATGCAGTCTCCCTTATGTTTTTAAAATATGCTCTGAAACTTTATTTGCACAAACCAAATTTAATGTAAAATACCTTCCACACATGAATCCTTTTGCTGTTGCTAACTAATTAGTTATTTTGACACCTTAGTCGCTGGGGAAGCAGACCCAAGTGGTGCTGCCTTTAAATGGGAAAAGCAGCTGTCTTGTTTGCTCTGTGATATTTTTCCACCAAGAAGGGATGTTGCAGCACTGAATGCCAATGACACGTTTATCTAAAGGACAGATGTGTGGGTTTTGCTGCAGATCCTTTTCAAATTAGGCAGCATCAGAGAGTTTTTAAACAAACTGAATTCCCTCTGAAAGCACAGAAATCAGTCACAGCAAAACAAGGTCTTACTTTAAAAGAAGATATATTGGGAATAAGAAACAGGAGTTTAGATCCAGGAGTTGCAACTGACCAGCTCTGGAATGGCTTTCTGGAGCAGCATGGGGGGTGGGAAGTAATGAAAATAGATTCTCAACTTCCTTCCTCCAGTGTAAGTCTCCACTAAATATTAGTAACATCCAAGAAACACTCCCATTTGTGCAGCAACCACTCTGGGTCCAATCCATTTTAGATGCTGTTTCCTGTTTTTTGTTTAGTCGTGTCCGACTCTTCGTGACCCCATGGAACAGAGCACGCCAGGCACTCCTGTCTACCACTGCCTCCCGCAGTTTGGTCAAACTCATGCTGGTAGCTTCAAGAACACTGTCCAACCATCTCACCCTCTGTCGTCCCCTTCTCCTTGTGCCCTCCATCTTTCCCAACATCAGGGTCTTTTCCAGGGAGTCTTCTCTTCTCATGAGGTGGCCAAAGTATTGGAGTCTCAGCTTCAGGATCTGTCCTTCCAGTGAGCACTCAGGGCTGATTTCCTTCAGAATGGAGAGTTTGATCTTCTTGCAGTCCATGGGACTCTCAAGAGTCTCCTCCAGCACCATAATTCAAAAGCATCAATTCTTCGGCAATCAGCCTTCTTTATGGTCCAGCTCTCACTTCCATACATCACTCCTGGGAAAACCATAGCTTTGACTATACGGGCCTTTGTTGGCAAGGTGATGTCTCTGCTTTTTAAGATGCTGTCAAGGTTTGTGATGAGTTATTCAAGCCCCTTCGCCATGGCAAGGCAGTGATCCATGAAGGACCTTTGTCGGCAAGGTGATGTCTCTGCTTTTTAAGATGCTGTCTAGGTTTGTCATTGCTTTTCTCCCAAGAAGCAGGCGTCTTTTAATTTTGTGGCTGCTGTCACCATCTGCAGTGTTCATGGAGCCCAAGAAAGTAAAATAACTGCCTCCATTTCTTCTCCTTCTATTTGCCAGGAGGTGATGGGCCAAGTTTCCTGTTAGCTATATCTAAATGCAATCTTCTTAGAACTCTCTTCCACAAAATGACTTTGCAATGTGGAAATTATCCTATGAATAGGCTCCATAGGTATTCAGTTTCCCTGCCATGGTGCCACCCAACAGAACGTATTTATAACATCAGATGCATGGTTAGAAGGATACTCTCGTAAGCATATCAAAACCCAATATGCACTTACTTGTGAGTAAATCCCATTTAACTTAATAGGACTTTCTTCTGAGTAGATGTGCATATTTTGTGCTGTTAGTGCTATGTCGCTGAATTTCAAACTAATGAAAGATCCTAGGTATAGACATCCCAGAATGACATATGTCTGTCAGTGAAATATTTAACCAAAAGTTCATCATTTACAGATGAGACCAATCATCCACAAAAATGGGCACAAATATGTTTTGTTAACTTATTCATTAACCCCAATAACCATATTTGCTTATTCCTTTGCCCCATCTTTTTGTGCTTTCCAAACAGCCGTGTCATGCTTATGATAATATTTTATTCTCTTGCTTATTCTGCAGTTTTAAATGTGCATTTTATATCTGACTTCTCTTAGCAATGTTTTTTTTAAAAAAGTTTAAGATTTTTTTTGTTAACTTTGTTTGTGTTAAATACGTATTCTGTAGTTGATCTCCTTTGTAATGTTTTATTTTGAAATCTTTAAGATAATATTGTAGTTTTCTGTTAATTATGTTGCTTTGACTGTATACTCTATATTTGACTTTCTTCAGATTGTTTTATTGATGTTTTAATATGCTGTAAACCACTTTGAGATTTTTCTTAAAAATATAAAGCAGTATATAAATGCAATTATTATTATTATTATTATTATTATTATTATTATTATTATTATAAAAGAATCAAGCTCAATTTTTACCTTAAATCCATAATGAGAGGTGATGAGAAACGTTATCTGACTCCCCCTTAAAATTCCTTTGCCAACTAGTGTAGGAACACAAAATGTGTGGAAGATTCCTAAAAATAAAACTATTTCACTCTTACAAACGGTGTCAATGGAAGTCAACTGGGAAATCAGTTGATACTTCATGCTCTGGTTACATCCAGATTGGATTATTGCAGGGGCTGCCAACCCTTTCGACCACTGGGCACATTTCGAATTTTGAGAGAGTGCTGGGGGCACCAGTCACAAAATAGCTGCTATGGAGAGTGTGGCGTAACACAAAATTAGAGGCAGCCACCCCAGACAACTTTATGCATTCCATGGGAAGTCAGCTATGTCCTGCTGGTTCCGATTGTGGAAATCGCACATTGATTTCACACACACATGCACGCTCACTAAAGCTATAGCAACAGGGAGCATATCTCACTACCAGGGGGAAAATGCAAAGTGGCCATATCACTCTCTCAATTCACAGAAATTGCTTAGAAGATACCAACACATTTTGCTCCATAACTTTCTTTTTAAGATGACCAGAGACTTAAAAAAGAAAAGAAAAAAGAATGCTCGAGTTTGAGGCACCTGCCTGAGAGACCAGTAAAAGCCTTTGCAAGTGTCATTGCATCCATGTGCGCTGGGTTGGAAACCCCTGAATTATTGCAATGCACTCCACACAGGTCTGCCCTTGAAGATGACTTAGAAACTTCAACTGGTTCAAAATTCAGCAGCCGGGCTGGGTTTCCATTTAGAATAACCCCATTTATTCCATTTAGAATAACTGTTGCACAAGTTGCCAATTCATTTCAGGGTTCATTTTGAGGTATTCACATTCGTGTTTAAGGCCCTAAATAGCATAGACCCCAAATATCTAGAAGAAAGGCCCTTTCCTTATATGCCTGCAGAAAAGAGTATCTAGTACCTTCATTGTACTGGTTTCATTGTATCATAGAACCATTGTATGCTGATTACATATAGCTTTCATCGTACGTATGGTTTTCATCATACTCTTTACCCTGGCCTTTGACGTTTGAGAGAGATATTTTTAAGACACATCCTCTTATTCTGGTAATTCAGCTCTAGTGTGTTCTCCTTGCAGCGTGCTGCCAGTGTTTTCATGGCTCTTTTAAGGCCTATAGGTGTTCCTGAGAGGATTTTGGTGTCGTCTGCGTAAAGCAGCACTGAGATGTGCTTTTCTGCCAATTTTAGAGGGAGGAAATTGCCCCTTGCAGCTCAGTTACACCTAAAGGAGGCAACCCATTGATTTCTTCTAGAAGTGGGAAGAGGCCAAATAGCCATAAACCAGAGAAACAGAGAGAAAGAGTGAAAAGGGGAACCTTCAGATCCAATCTGCAAGGTCCCAGTTTCAAGGCTTGGTCAAAGAATAGACTCTCTCACAACAGCATGCCACTTATATTCCTTCCTTCCTACTCACCACTGGTGGATTTCTGGATGTGCTGCTGGGTTCTAGCCGGGCTTGTCTGCGCCTAGAAAAACCTCTTTATCACCAAGACCACTGAACTACTTGTGGATTTTCATCCACAAAAACTCCATTTTGTGTTGTACACTAATGAAATCCTTATCCAGGTCCCATTCAGATGATCTCGAGTGACCTGGGTTTTCCCTGTATGAGACACCAACTGTGGTAAGAATTCACCTCTACACCACTTTGTTCGTTACCCAAGTGAGGAACAACCACCTTTTGCATAAACCACAGAACCAAGGAAACTATTTTCAAGTCCAGCCTCCAGATTTAGGGATCCGGCATTTATTATAGCTATTGCAACAGGATAGAGCTCACTCAACTCAATGTGCCAGTTGAGAAGGTCTGCCCCAAGGCACTTCAGAACAAAAGCTTATACAGTAGTTCAAACACAGCAAACAAAGAGTCATAAAACATCCTCACATACATCAGTGTCATGAGAAGTAATACACACATGGCTCTATACTGGTATCTTCACCCTCACAATCACCTTGGAATGGCCCCAATGTGCCCAGGCCATTTGACCATTTTAGGTCTTGGATGTCCAACGTTACCCTGGCAACCTAGCCTTCAGTGGGAGGGAAGAGCATCATAAAATCCTCTTCCTGGGTCTCAGATAGCTCCAGGGATAGCTGATTTGCACTCTGGTGCTACAACATCTTGCCATTCGTACCACTTTCAGGGGTAGATAAGGAGGGAGAAACTCACAAACGCAGAACGCACAAAAATCAAGCCTCATACATTCTTAAAAGGTTAAATGCAAATAAAGTGAAACATTGAAACATTATTAAAATAAGAAAAATATACACTTGGGGTCTCTAATTCTCATATCAATAGCAAATTGTTTTAACTGATCTCCATAATGTATTTTTATACTGTATTGTATGGCTGTAACCCATCCTAGGATATTTTGGTGAAGGGCAGGTAAGAAATCATCAAATCAACTAATCAATGAGAACAGGAGCTTGGAAGCTTAACAAGACACGACCTGGTGGAAAAGGAACCGCACAAGAACTGATATCCTTGTTGCTTTCATAGGCAGAAGCTTCCCATGATATGTTGCTAAAGCGCCTTGATGAGACATACATGGTCCAGCTTCCATTTTACGCCACTGGTGGGTGGGTACATTTGCTTGTCTGCAAAGTTCTTCAACTCCCTTGTAACGCAGGAGTTTGCCCTTCATTTTTTTGATCAGCCTAAACCACTGATGACAGATTTCTATATGAAACAGGGAAAATATTCATCCGCAGAATAGAACTTTCTATTAACATGGTCGTTTTTGCCTGCCCACAAAAGAAGCAGATACGGGTCGTTACAACCTGATAGATCACTCTCTCTATTGCCTCCCTTATGACAAATGGAAAAATATAGTCTCCAGTGACTTTTTGGTGTTGCCCTGTAAAGTGCCATATACAGATGGCATGATGATGCATTGATGTGATGATGGGCTGTTAATATACCGACAGGGCTGGCTCTATCATTAGGCAGGGTGAGGCAGCTGCCACAGGTGGCAGATACTGGAAAGCAGGCCGCGGCAGCAAGATGTTGTTAGCCTGATAGCCTCAGAGGCAGTGGAAGATGACCTATCATCAGTTTTGAATTTAAGATGCAACTGCCAGTCAGATGAAGCTTTTGTACAAGGAATGGAATGTGATGCCATCACATCCTCCGCCTCAGGCAGCGAAATGTCTTGAGCTAGCTCTGTTTATTGGCAATGTTTGAAAGTCCGCACACTGGTCCCAGATTCCACAGTCCTGCAGACATTGTGAAAATGCTTGCTGGGGCATTTGATCTCGAAAGCGCCAAACCACAACAATGATGAAAAATTCAGAATCCATTGATAGCTCCATTGATAAATACCAGTCCCAAAAAGGATGTATTTTTGAGATAAATCCAAAGGAGCTATTATTGTTTCTCAAACCTTTTATTAATTTAAAGATAAATGCCTGGATCTTGGAGTTGCCACCATCTGCTTATCTCGCAGGGGTGGGGGGGGTGGGACCAAGTTATTTATTTAGTATTGATCTCAGCAGGGGCACAGACAGAGGGATGTTGATGGCATTCTTTTAGAAACCTAAACGAAAGATGTATTATTAAAGAGCAATCTATAATAATGTTCTTGTTTTACAGGGGAGCTGTCACACTTTTAGCTACATTGTAAAAGGTTTTATATGCCTCATTGGTGTCTGTGAGGTGATCTATTGCGAGGGCGGGGTGGGTTGTGCCGTGACTTCGCCTTGTTCCCCATTTTAGCTTCCACTTGAAATATTTTACTGATAACAGATTCC